ATTGCGGTCTAATTTTTGGGTGGGTTTCCTCATACACCCCTGTAGACATGGGAGATAGATATTACAAGCATCACGTTTGGAAAAAACCGCCGCCACCAAAATCGAGAAGAACTTTAAAAGAGTTTAGCGTTCAATTGGAGAATGGTGAAGCGGGCGAAATAGAATATAAGTTAATCCGAGTTTTAAACGGCAAGATTTCTAGAGGTAAACCGTTGAAGGCTTTAATCGCGGTACGTTATCAAGACGTGACAAAAGAACCTACAGAAGCCGTAAAATATCTATTTCTAGTTTCGGATAAGCACTGAGAAAACGCCTTTGACAAATTAAACCTCTCCAAACGAGATTTCTAAAAACGTATAGATTGCTAAACAAGATTTTTCAAAACGTATATAATAAAATGGAGACTCACACGTTTTACTTAACCGAGAGCGAGCAGACGTTTAAATTGAAAGATATCATTAAAAATACCAAAGGCGACAAAGTCTTCCGAGTAAAGAATATTCAGTTTGAAGCTGGATATTTTAACGTAACAAACGCGACTGAAATTGAGTGGGATACAAACTTGGACGGTAGGCCCGCGGGGGTACTTGGCGAACGACCGCCGGGAATTCCATCAGAGGAAAGAACAGAAGTATCTCCCAATTCAGAATTAGTAAAAACAGCTAAAACCAGATTGATCCAAGCATATAAAAAAGGCACTTTAGCAGAAGAAATCAGCATCATCGCTGAGGAAATTGAGCAGCTAAACCAAGAAATCGCAACTTTAGAAGAGCAGTTAAACCAAAGACAACCATTAGAAACGCGAGCTCATTTAGCTTATGATATCGACGATAAAAAAGTCAAATCAGCTTCACTGCTCGAGGGACATAGACAAGCCTTGGATGAAATTTATGAAGGGAGTCCCCCAACTCGCCCTACAACCAACTCCCCCGGACAACCCACGAGACCTAGAAGAGAATTAACTAAAAGACTTTTTTGACGGGGCTAACGGAACCTATATACGATAGACTTCATTCTCAAAGCTCATCTCAACCATTACCCGAGGGTCAAAGAGGAAGCATCGTGGTATCTCCCGGTTATTATAACATGGACTGGTTTCACTTCGTGTTATACTCGATTCCAGGCGTTTCTTTTAAGGTTCACTCAGAATCTAAAAGGGTGACTGAGACGCGATGGGTGGCCCAGTTGGCCTCATTCGACTTTGAAGTAAAATTCCGGTCCGGCCGGAGTAATCGCTGTGCCGATACCCTTAGCCGCTACCCAGGGCGTCTTTCCCCCGAAGAAGAGGGGGCGGTACGGCAGATCTCTCAAACGAGCACTATTCCATTGCCCACCGAGGTAAACAGTATCAGTCAAATGCGACTGGCTACGGAGGCACAGTCTAACGGTGAGCCCCCTGGGCTATTCCCTTCGTGGTTGGCAGAGCAATTAGCAGCATTGCAAAGGGAAGACCCAGACATCGGGTTCCTGTGGGAGCACTGAGAGCAAAATGCAGTTCCGGGTGAAGTAGAATCCAATGGTAAGCGCGGTACGCGAGACCTGAAGCTCTGGCAGTGGCCACGATATGTTGTCCGTGACGGTGTCCTGCATAGAAAGGTGAAAGACCAATTGCACGGAGACGTTTTTCAGATCCTTTTGCCAAAGGTTCTCCAACCAAGAGCTGTTCAGGGTAGCCACATTGGATGGGGGCACCAAGGAGTATATCGCATGTGTTCACTTCTTAGGAGGCGCGTGTACTGGCACGTATGACCGCCACCGTACGACAGCATATTGCTAATTGCCAACAATGCATAACCGCTAAGGCGGCTCAGCCGCAACCAAGAACTCCGATGCGACATCTAATGGCTTTTCGACCGTTAGAGGTACTTGCTATTGACTTTGTCAAGGTAGACAGAGGAAGTGGGGGATATGAAGATTTGTTGGTCCTTACTGACGTGTTCACGAAATTCTCGCAAGCGGTACCATGCAAAGATCAGCATGCTGTAACAGTGGCCCGTGTCCTACGCGATCATTGGTTCACGAAATTTGGCATCCCGTCGCGCTTGCACAGCGATCAAGGGCGAAATTTTGAAGGCAGCGTGATCCAGGAGTTGTGTACCTTGTATGGAATCAGAAAATCACAAACGACTCCTTATCATCCGGAGGGAAATGCCAAGGCAGAGAGGTTTAATCGTACTCTGTTTGGATTGATTAAGTCAATAGATGAGCGCAGCCGACACAAGTGGCCTGATATGTTGGCGCACTTCGTGTTCGTGTACAATACTACCCCTCACAGTACAACGGGGACTGCCCCGTACACGCCCATGTTCGGGCGAGAACCGCTCATCCCGTTAGACCAGATCTTTGGGCGTACAGATTCTACTTGGGATCAGGATTTCGTTAGAGGGTACAGTCAGAACTACTTGAACGTGCAGGGAATGTAGTTAGAGAGAAAACGGAGAGTCGTGCTGCGCGTAACAAAACCCTTCATGATCTAAAAGGAAAAATGTGTGAATACTTTAAGCTTGGAGCAAGAGTGCTGTTGAGAAAGTTAGATTGTAGGGGGAGGCACAAATTAAGCAACGCGTATCATGGCGGGACTTTCATTGTTACCTGGGTAAATCCTGAGGGAGACGTGTATCGCATCGGACCTTCTCAAGGGGGCACGGAAAGAACCGTAAATCGGAAACTCCTTAGGCTACACCCATCTGAGTTATCGGATGGAAGGATAGCTTCGGGTAGTAGCTCAGAGTCCGAGAAAGACTTCACACCAGGGCTAGATTTAGGACAGCTTGCTGATGCCAAAGATGGGAGAGATAGTACCGCCAAAGTAGGGGAGCAACCGTACCAGTCCCCGCGGAACACCAAAGGTGTCCGTACCAATCCGTATCATCTGCCTCGTTCTGTAAATAAGTAATAGTCTGGGTGGCTTACAAATGGCTAAGGTTTTCCCTGGTTGGAAAGACTTGGGAAATCCAGTTTTCAGTAGGGAAGCCCTTGCCGTTTGGTTCCACCCAGGGCATTTGCAAGTTTGTTGATTTTGTTAATGTTGCCTTCGCTAGGTAACAAGGCTACGGATCAAGTCGTCAGCATTGGATCTCTTGGAAGTCTTGGGGAATCCAGTTCCTAAGGAAAACGATCTTGACGCCTGAAGAAAAGTGTACATATACCATGCCAAACGAAGTGGTTGATAGCTACTCAGATTGTGTTTAGTTAATTAAGAGTTAGGTAGAAAACCTATCTTTCATCCGTTGTACAAGATGGCCTTCGTTTTGTTTGGACATAGCTTTGTGCGACGACTCGAAAACCCAAATCGATCTGTGCTTGAATTTGAATTCCACAACATCGTGGTGTCTGTTCACTGTTTGGGGGAAAGTGGCTTATCCCTTTTCCGGATCAAAGCGAATGTGGGTTTGTATTATGGCCAACTTCGGAGGATTAATCCAAGAGTATTGATAATTGATCTTGGGACAAATGATCTTTGCTCCCGAGAGAATTGTGCAAGAGTCGTCCATCAAAAGTTGTGTCGGTTTGTTGAGCAGTTGGCAGGAAATTGTATTAAACCCGAAGCGGTTGTGTTCTTGCCAGTACTGCCTCGTACTGGGGGCATGCGACGCCATCAGGTTGACCTGTAAACATTCAATAGACGGGCCACGGAGTTAAACCTATTGATTGAGGAGAGTACATTCGTAGAGGATGGCTGGTGGCTCTGGAACCATAAAGGGTTGAAACACCCGAGATACAATTTGGATGGCGTGCATATGAATCGATGCGGAGAGCACTAGTATAGGAGGACCCTTCGGCGACTTGTTGGATTTTTCCAGGCTCGCTTGTGGTAAAAGGAATTTCACATGAAGTGTTTATAACAAAGCTAACTGTTCGCTCGTTTAAAGACAAAAAAAAGTAATGGAAATGTTGTACTTAAAGTTACTTGAGACGTTGTCGAATATCTATTTGGGTTGTACATACGTTTGTAAGATTTTGTGTAATGGGCCTTGAGATTGATCACCACTCCAGTGTTTCATAAAAGTTAAGGATTACATTTCTCAAAGAAAGAAAGGCCAAAGTGTGCACCGCTGCATGGTCGCTATATTTTCTCGCTTATTGCATTGTAATATCGATAAATGAGCCCGTATTATGGATAAATTACGTTCGATCTCCGGGTGAGAGATCGACAAAGGAGGAAAGTGTGTAGGGGAATTGCTTTTTGTGTGTGTATAAATATACATATGTGCATATGGCGGCGCTCACCTGTCCGGGCAAAGTCTGAAAATAACTGTGTACGTGTATTTAGGCAGGCTGCCAGGGGTCACAGGGTCATTGCACGCAGTGAAGCGAAGCGGACGAGGAAAAAGATTGTGGGACTTTGGGCGGGTGAACTTAAGGGACAGCGCGCGAGATTGGTGGTGGATGAAGGCAATAAAACAAAGGAAGATGGTGGAAGGCCAAAAAAGGTGTTGCGTGAACCCTATTATTTCCCTCACCGGAACTATTGCTGAAATAGCGATCATAGCTAGCTTTTTGCTACATTTATATATTTTGATTTTTTATATAGTCCGTTTATTTGTTGTAAACATAGCGCATTTTGCTTTGAACAGAGCCACGCTTTAAGTAGAAGTCACGAGTTCAGGCTGGAAAAGCGAGGGGAAGTCCCTTTTTTTGTTTGAGAGGCACAGGTTAGGTTGTTTATGCGATCTGTCACAAGTTGTTTACGCCGGGGTCAAAAGGTCAAGGTAAGTGAAATGGGAATCCCCGGCGCTGGTGGTGAAAGAGGGCGAAAGGAAGTGAAAGGGGAAGTGAAAGGGGAAGTGCGCTAGCTAGAACTCTCCGATCCCTACTACTGTCCTATTTGTGAAATATAAACGCTTTGTAATATAAGACTTCAATATGTTGGATTGGGACTTTGAACATGGATTACTCGATCTGTCAATATTTGCTTTAGATCGCTGAACGAGAATTGGGGCAATTTTATTTCTACAGGCCTATGGCTGTTGCGCGCTGCTGCGCTTTGTATTATGTAGTCTTGCTGTGTTTAGTAAAGACTGACAGTGTGACCGACTTACAGGTGGGCCTAGTCAAGTTCCTCCAGAATGAAACTCGAGGAAGTTATTCCCCTTGTGGGAAATTTTGGTCGCTATCAGTTGTTTGTGGCCTTATACACTGGCCTTCTCTGTATGGTGGGCTGCATGATCACATTCGGTGATATGTTTTTCGCAGCTGAAACCGACCACTGGTGTCAGGTTCTGCCAGCGGAGAACTGTTCCATTTGGGTAGAGTTCCAAGCCAATTGTACAGATGTCAAAAAGTCCATTCTCCTACCACCACCTGAGAACGAGAACAGCAAGTATCCTCACTCCAACTGTAAGCAATGGGATCTACCACCTGGGTATGAGTTTGATCCCTACGAGTCACTCAGCCAAGATGCAAACTTCACAAACGATACGGTGCTGTGTGAGGATGGTTGGGGATACGACACTTCGCAGTATAAGACCACAATCATCTCCGATGTAAGCTGACTTGATATCGCGAGTAGAGCGACCGTGAAACGTACAAAAAGCAATGAATTTTATACGGCTTTATGCAATGTCTCAACGACATCACCAAAAAGGGGGCTTTGCCTTTTTTTCTAGTCGAGGGGAGGGGGGGCATTCAACAGTAGCAGGCAGAGAGGGTGATGAATACCATGTCCTCTTCCTTTTTTGGCTTTTGAGTAACTTTGCGTAAAAGCCATTACGTTTTATTCGCCTTGTTTTCCGTATTAAGAATTTTTCCCCAAAGGCCGTTCACTTTGTGCACAGTTTTTCAAGGTGACACTTTGGTCACTTTTGCAATATTGTATATTCAACAAAATTTACACGAATGAACGACCCTTATGCATGGATGGTCCTGAAACAATGATACCATGGTGACGTCATCAATTGATTAATTAATGATTTTTCGATATGTATTCTAGCCCTTTGAATTTGTACACGTCGTCAAGGCATCATTTAGGTAACTTAGCAATCTCCAGTTTTCATCAAAGTTACAGCTAACCTTGATACAAAAAAATGCAAAATCATGACATGATGACATCATTACATAATCTGTTATTGATTTTTTAATATTACCTTTTCCCTCTTGTTTTTGCACAAGTTTTTCATCAGTTAGACTTCGGCACTCTTGCCAATCTGACTGACCTTGTTGAGGTGCACACTCTTAGTTTCAGGACAAATTCATCATCAGGGGTCATGTGACATGAGATTAAACTTGCAGGTTTTCTCTTTAAGTTTGTACGCGTTTTTCCACTACACACCGTCATCAATCTCAGTGACCGAGTGGTTCTCAACTCTGGCTGAGAATTACTGTGAGGGTTAAAGAAAAGTCAGAGGAAAGTTTGCCTATTTCGATTACAAATATACCCAAATGTAAAAAAATTCAAGTCATACATTGAAAAGAAATTGCAATTCAAACGTAAATCACGTGACATTAATTTAAAGTATGTAGGTTTTGTGCATGAACGTTGGTCTATTATGATAGACTGAAGCACTTTCATCGATCTGACTTCATATTATGTGCATAGTCTATTGGCTAGGAAGGGTGTCAGAAAACAGTCACTGTGACGTCATCACGTGTCACGTGGCATGACATTTAAAATATAATCTACAATTCGCCATGTCTTGTGAGGTAAATGTCGGATTGGGTTGCGAACTTTCAGGTTACCAGAAAAGAAAGTGACATGAAGTGACGGTGACATCATTTAACAAATCATGCCACCTTAAAGGTGCATCCTTGAAAGCACTATAACTCTTAAATTACATGCCTGATTGGGATGGAACCCTCTACGTATCTAAACAGGGATGTGGAAAAGTGACATGATGTGGTATTGGCGTCATCAAATGACAAGCCACGTGGCATTAAACCTTCAAAGCACTGTATCTCTTGAAGTAGATGGTTTGGGTTGAAACCTTGCAGGCAGCTAGAATTGATTGTGACGAGGTGATGTGACGATGACGTCACTGGATGACAAGTCACGTTGCAGTAGACGTGAATCCTGCACTACATCTTCTGAAGTACATGTAAGACTTGATAAAAACCTTGGGGTAGCTAGAAAGGGGAAAGTTATAGTTAGAAATTGACATGATCTGACATTTGTGGGAAAATCTTATTATTGATATTTTACTCTATGTTTTCAGCGGAAATAAACACCCTTCAAAGAGATTATAAACGTGCAAAAACCATGTGTTCTGTCCATGAGACAGACTTACGACCTCTAGTCTTTTGTTTCCCTTTGTGTTCCCTCCCCCTTAGGCGAGGGGGAGGGGCAGGACAGTACCTTCTCGTGCCCTCCTGCGACGTCCATGCCCATTGACAAGACGCGTAGGGTCTTTTTAACTGAGGAGGGATTGGGTTCAGTACAAACTTGCCTGTGTGTGCAGGCAGTCCTCATTGTTTTTGAAGTTTATCACTGACGTCTCCTGTGCAGCTAATTTTGCATTTTAAATTCATATCATTTTACCTTTTTAGGTATGCAAGTATGTGCCAGATTGGCTCCCACTTGAATTAAACACTAAGGAAGACGCAAAAGTTAATCTTCATTTTTATCTTGCGGAGCTGGTGTGAGGACCTTTTTCAACCATCCTTTTTGAGTTTCTGGGGGGATGCAACCAGAGGGTGCTACTTGGTTTGGGTAAAATCATTTTGTATTTGCTCTCACATTTACTCACTTCAAATAGCGCCCTCCAATTTGACCCGCAATGCTTCAAGAAAAGCTAAAAGATGCAAATGATTTGCTTCAATACTGACTTTTGACCATACCAATGGCTCTCCATCGGAGAATTCCAAGGCACGCCCACCCTTCGTCCGACAGTCTCCCAGTCAGTCCATGGCGTCATACATGACATGATCGCTTCTCTGAGAGAACTTGCTATCTCTGCATGAAATAACGTTACTGCTTGACCAAATGTGTAAGTTGGTCCTCATTTTTGATTTCCCTGGCAGTTTGACCTGGTGTGTGACAAGAGAAATCTTCCCAGCCTCGCTCAGTCTATGTACTTCCTGGGTTTTTTGGTGGGATCATTCGTCTGCGGCTCCCTGTCTGACTGGTAAGCTCATACAGAATAGTTTAATATCTTCCAAGACGTTCCTTATAAAATATTGGACAGAAAAAAAAGAGACTTAAAATTCAGACTTAAAGTGAAAAGGCGCGCCATGACAGGACAGGATGAGTGTGTGAAACTTTGCCCCACATCACCAAGTTTGCAAAGGACAAACGAGGTAATCCTTCCGAAGGCTCAGCCATATGTCTGAAATAATTCTCTCACTCTTTTTTTGTAGGATTGGTCGAAAGAAAGTAGTCTTCTTTGGACTTTTTTTCCTCGCCGCTGGCTCAATTGTCACAGCGTTCTCCGTGAATATCTACATGTACATAGCTGCCCGTTTCTTCGCTGGTTTTGGTAACATGGGTTTCTACATTCCCGTGTTTGTGCTGGGTAATATGTTTGCATTTATTGCTTACCAAAGTTTTGTAATGTTTTGTTTTAATGCACCAAGCAATATTGACCTCTCCATCCCACAAACAAGGACCCGTGTCCCGGGGCGTGTTTTGGTGACTCCTCCCCCGAAAATGTTTGTGACGAACTAAAGAGAGGGCTTGCGGTAACACCAAGTGGACAGATCTCTTTTGAAAGAGGTATATGGCTCTGATAAGAATCGTTGAGTGTGTACTCGACGTTTCAACCAGGGCAACCAGAGTACACTGGTCTGAACATCAAGTATAAACAATCAAAGGTTCTTATCAGAACCATACCCCTTTCAAAAGAGATCTATTCACATGATGTTACCGCAAGCCCTCTCTTTAGTCTGTCTCCAGCTTGTAAAGCTTCAAGTCTTATCTATGTTAGTGACGTCAAAGCAATGTAACCAGGAACACGTTAAGGGTGGCACACAAAAATGAAGAACCAGAAACGGTTACGTCATCTAAGAGAGAAATGTGTTAAGCAAACAACATTGTTGATGAACATCATTTTCACTCAATATTCCACATGTTTCATTGCTGCTCTCGAGAAAACACCTTACTAATTATCAAAGCTGAAACAATTTCGTGGTTCTGGTCGCCAAAATGCGCCCCAACCCAGGGATAGAAGACTTCAGTAGTGCATATATAGCTAGGTTTTGGTCGTAGGTATCGCCGTATTTCCCTCTTCATAAAAGCGGTACCTGGTAGTCTAATGTCGCTCTATTCGAGTCCTCTCTCCCTTCCGGGAAAAAGCCCCCAAACAGTCGAAAATGTCTTGTGTATTTTCTACTCTTCTGAAAGCAGGAAAGCAGGTGTTTGTTTTGGTTCATCCATGTCTTTTGCTATGGAAAGAGACACACGATGTTAATTTCACATGGAGAGGCTGATGCCTCTATGAAGGTTTGGCCTTATAAAATCCGCAGGAAAATGAGATAGGCATTAACTACTTACTTTTTCAATAACCATTCACATCAAAAGCCGTACCTGTTATCTTGAAACATATTTTTGTCTGAAAGAAGACAGTATATGGCTCACCTCTCAAATAGAGGCTCCAATGTTTTGAATTCACGTGAACTTGCATCCCAGTATTGCATCTATCTTGTTCAACATGTCTTCATAGTTTCATTGTTTCATCTTCAAACAGGGAAATTTGAAAGCAAAATGCCCAGCCATCCTGGAATTTAAAAAAAAAAAACAGAATTAATAAACTGAAAAGGTCCGTCCCCTATTTGGTTTCTACACACTTTGTTTTTCCTGTTTTACCAAAAGTCGTCGAGTTTACTGGAGGGTCATGGCGAACAGCGGTAACCATGGCAGTGAGCATTCTGTACGCGTTCGGATATTTCTTCCTCGCAACGGCCGCAATGTACGTCCGGGAATGGCGGACCCTCTGTTTGATTATCTCACTACCGACCTTGCCTTTCTTCATCCCCCCGTTGTAAGTTTTTCCCGAGTGGCCAAATGAGTATCTGCGTTTGGACAATGTGAATAAGGAATCGTCCCTTGTCATACTTCACATTTTGTTGGAGGAACTAGGGACAGAGTGATCGTTGCAAGAAACCCGCTTTATAACTTCATCTAAATGGAAACAACTAGTGTATAATGAGAATCAAAGCAGCATATTCCCCTGTCTACATCATATCAGAATTTATCTCCTTTTAAAATGAACATTTTTTCCCCAATTTTTACAAAAACCAAAGCTAGATCCGACACCTGAGGGCTGAACCATTGTAAAGTCTGTATGACCACGAACTCCCCCCCCCGCGAAATTCGCGGCAATCAAAAAATGATACATTTACTGTAAACGGTTTATTCCACAGGTTTATGCAGGAGTCAGTAGACTGGCTGGTCTCAAAGGGTAGGACCAGAGAAGCTGAGGATGTTGTCAGGAGAGTTGCCAAAATCAACAAGAAGACGCTACCTGAGGTCGTGTTCAACGATGAGGACATCCAAGAAGAAACGGTATCGAGTGAATTGGCTCTCGGGGGGGGACACAGGTGGATTTTCCCATCACGTGATCTGTTATCTTACATTACGCAGTTTATTCCTTGTTGAAGGTAGCATAATTCCAGTCATATGTTTCCATATTCAGAACTCTTCAGCACCGTGTTACGCTTTGAAAGCACACTGTTTCAAGAATGCCAAAACATACGCACGTCTTTCCTGGGCTGTGAATGAACTTTAGATGGCGGCACTCATCATAGCGTGTGTAGCATGCATTCTTGGATAAGTGTACGTGAACGAACTACGTGTACGTGTACATCATTTTGGTATTTACATGTATATTGCTTTGTGTGGCTGCAGCCATGTTTTCCCTAGATTATCCGGTTCGTAAGTGACTTTCGTCACAAAGGCGGACGCGTCACGATTTGCAGGCTCCATTAGACGATCGCTGAAGTTGCGCGTTAACTTCCGGTTCCATGGTTCCATGTAAACGGCAATCAATGCATGTAACTCTATGTGCAGTGCATGTGCAGTGGGGCGTGGTTTAAACTGAAGTGACGTCACACTTACGAGCGGGATTGGTTCGGTAGTGCGACGTTGCAACCTAAACCACCACCACTCCCACTTACACGATGTCGCATGGGAACCGCTGAAGAGGAGAAGTAGCACAAAGTTGACGTATTTTAAGGGTTGTTCTACAACCCCCTCGACCCCGTAGACTTATGTTCAAATCTCTCAAAACACAGATCTAACGGATGCTAACCCATGGAATGTGTGGTTTTATCAAACAGAGCTCTATAGGAATTGTTACGCATTGTTTTCCCAATTTGAGAAACACCAACGTTACTAAAGCGATGCATGCACTCGCATCACGGCTATGCTTGAAGGCGCGCGACTGATGGATGAGCCGATGACGCCCTCGACTCCATGGGCTGCGTGTGCGTTCTTTCTCTAGCCCCTGGTCGTGTTGTATATGAAAATGACGCTGACTAGCTATTCAGTATGAATATACCACAGACATATGCGTTTATAACACCTCACCCATACATTCTGTATCTTGATTGGCCGAAAGTGTGTCATGTGACACTTGCTAGTTTTACTATTTTTATACCACCGCTTCAAAAATATTATACCATGCAGCCTCATTCTCAAAAAGAACTATACCCATAGCAACAAAGAACTATATCCGTAGCAACGAAAGCATAGGTGTGTATTTCAGCTCATAGCGAACAACATTATAACAAATGTATTCAAACGTTGCTGTTCTGCTTGGAATTCTTGAATTAAATTTGATGACTGTAAATTCCAGTTTAGCTTAAATTTTGCAGAATCTGTGGGGAGGTGTTATAAAACAAAATATTGACTGCTTTATCTCGCAGTACAGTAAACCCAGCTACCCGAGGTGATCCATGGAGCATTCTATCTTCCCTCCTCGGCTTTGCCTCGGGAAAATAGAATGCTCCATGGATCACCTCGGGAAAATAGAATTCTCCATGGATCACCTCGGGAGACTAGCTTTTCTATACCACCTGAAGCAGTCAATTTTTGTATATTAGAGAAATATGGAACCAAGCAACGTGATCGCGTCCCCCTCGTACTCACATACCACCCTCGAAACATCCCGGTACGAAATATTCTTCTCATACATTTTCGTACACTCGGAAATGATGCGGCCACAGCTTCCATTTTCACCGAACCCCCGATTTGCGCGTTAAGGCGCGATGGTTCTGTCGGGGGCATGGTTATATGTTCCCGGTTGGATTCCGTCTCGCCGTCAAAAGCAGGCAGCAATTCCCCTTGTCAGCGCCCCAGATGTAAAACCTGCCCCTACATAGTTAACAGCCCGTCGGTCGTCAGCCCCCGCGGTAGCTACAGAATACACGGGGATCATACATGCATTACTAGTAATGTAGTTTATTGCATTACATGTCGCTGTGGTAAACTGTACATCGGAGAGACCAAGCGTCGCCTTAGTCACCGCTTTGCGGAACACTTGGGCAGTGTGCGCCAACAAACACCTGGTCTCACTGTTGCGCAGCACTTTTGCGCGCCGCCACATTCCCTCGGTGACCTAGGCGTCGGCATCCCGCGGAAAGCGTCATCTGATGTACAGCGTAAGGAACTGCAGCAGCGCGTCATTTTCGAACTTGGAACGCTGCATCCAGGGGGAATGAACGTGGATTTTTCCGCGTTCATTCAGAACTGAATCTGCTTGCCCTGAAGGTACTCAGTTGCCGCAAGCTTGGCAATCACATATTTCAGAGCACTGATTTGATATTTTATTCTTGTCAATATTTGTATATTATATGTCTGTGGAATATACAAACGTAAAGTCGATCGCACGCGTATTTCAAAAGCTGCACGCTCGCGCCCACGTATTCTCCAGGGGTTAGATCGCACCGGGCATGCATGGTGGGAACCAACGTGGCGCGGCAAGATCGTATCCATGGGAACGAGGTTGAGCTGATAACGAATCAGGCCGATCTGGTCGTGACCAAAGTAAGAATGGTGGCCGTGTGGCGTTTAGGAGGCAGGTTTGGGGTAACTATTATAAAATATGCGTATCTACAGCGTAGTGCATGCACATTTTTCATAGGAAGGTTGGGGCATTTATAATAAACGGGGTGGGCGAACTTTAAGTAGACATTTTCTTTCATAGAAATCGTTGTGCAAATGCCTGTGGGAAGACTCCCGTTTTCGGACGTAATCCCATTCTCGATCAGCGGCAAGTATTGCATAGACACAAGTGAAATTGTCAGTCAAGGGAGTCGCTTGGTCGAGGGGGTTGTGGATCGAAAGGGTCGTTGAGGTCGAGGGGTTTTAGAACAACCCGTATTTTTTATAGCCAGTGAGCAGTCGTAGTCGGTAGAGTGTGTGCGTGTGTGACACATTTGGTAACAACCGTGTTGAGACTGTTTCGTCCTGTCATTCTTTTTAGAACACCTCACTCACAAATTCTGTAATTGACAGAAAGCTAGGCACGTGGCATTCGCTGCTATGTTTTACTATCTTACTACAACCTACGCATGATAATAACCAGTAGTACAAACCGTATAGGCTACGTCATTCTCAAGTGCTAAGCCCTACAAAGCGGGGATCAAACATTTCGTATAGAGGTATTTTGGACAGGTGCTGGAGAATAAATATTTATTCAAATAGCAATTTGTTTTATAAAATTAATCAGTTTCTGATTGCGAGAGGTGTTATTATACAAAAAATATTAATTGCTTCGTCTCGTGGTGTACAAAAGCGATAATCCATCGGTCGTTCCTTCTGCACTCCATTTTCCTAATTGAGGCAAAGCTAGGTTTACTATCACACGAGATAAAGCCCTCAACATTTCTATTTTGACAGAAGGAATCAAAGTCGACCATTCCTCCGTCTGTCATTGACCTGTTCAAAACACCAAACATGGCGTTCAAGACCATCAACATTATGTTCAATTGGTATGTAGAATAATATTCTAGAAAATGTATGGATATTTCTGTAATTGAAACTTCAGCATTGTTTATCTGTTTCTAATTGCTGGGTTATTTCATCTGAACGCTTATGTCAGTTCATTGAAATGTTATACACACCTTCTACAGCATTTACTAAAAAGTTATCTTTTCGAGCATAATTCCAACATAATTCGCTTTGTCCTTTACAGGACCGTCAACAATTTGGTCTACTACGGACTAGCGCAGAGCACAGGTGATCTGGGCGTGGACGAATATTGGGCCTTTTTCGTGTCTGGTGCTGTGGACATCCCAAGTTTAATTTACGCGACATTCGGAGTCGAATGGTTTGGTCGAAAATGGAACCTCGTGGTACTCGAACTGGTGGCAGGTATCGGCTGCATAGCAACAGTGTTCATTCGTAAGTGGTGCTAAATAAAAAATCAGCGTGACTGGGACATTCTTTCTTTCTTTCTTTATTAATTTCTTATATTTACCCGGGGTTGCCCATACACATTTATGTGGTCTTCCATTATGCCCTGTATAAAAAGTTATGAAATTATGATATTACAGTGAAACTATAGTAAAACAAGCTGAACAAGTGGAAGTGGAAAAAATAATTTAAATAAGCCAAAATGCACAGGATAAGAAAATACAAAATAAATAAAAAATGTAATAAAAAATTAGACGTTAAAATTAACAGAAGCCAAAACATATAGAGCCTATGATATGCGTGAAGTGTGATGTTATGCTATACCTACAATCACATATATTTTACAGCCATAGTCACTTGTTTCAAATGTTTTGCACACTTTTTATCAAGCAAAGAAATAGTGTACAGGCCTACATGCCTTTTCTGCTGAAGGTTAAATTTATTGAATCCGAGGCTTTTTCGAAATCATTTTCTTTCGAATGGAGCTTTTCACAATGAAAAGAGAAGGATTTCAACGGCACACATAGTAACAACACAACACCAGGAACAACAGAATTAGATTCTTCAACAACGACGGGGGGGGGGCAATCTCTCTTTTGGCCTGTGAATTCCACTGTTTTGTTTCATAAAGCTTGTTTCTAACCTACTCATTCCCACTTTCCTTTCCCCAGCTCTGGGGATCTGGCGGACTGTGGTAGCCATGATTGCTAAGTTTGGTGTTGCTGCCTCCTACGGTATCCTGTACCTATACACATCAGAGCTGTTTCCAACTCCGGTTCGGTAAGCTTCATTTCAATCACTTCCAAATTATCTGTTATACCTTTATTAAATCAGAATCATTTAAAGTTAACAATGATGCAAATGACAGCCCCATTGGAGGATCGTGTGTGTGTGTGGGGGGGACTTTTGCCAAGACCGTTAACAACCCCTCACCCCGACCCTGAGATAATTTCTGTCATTCTACAACTACGTTAAAACGCTATCCAGTTTCTCTTATCTAAACAGAAGTATCGGTTTGGGAATGGGTGGTGTCGCTGCCCAACTTGGAGGCATCCTTTCCCCTATCATTCTGCTGTTGGGGAAGTATGTGGAGAGCCTACCTCAGACTTTGTTCGGCTCCAGTGCGGCACTGGGGGCAATTCTACTGCTACTCATGCCCGAGACGAAAGGCCGACCACTCCCACAGACACTTAAGGAGGGAGAGGAAATAGGAAAGTACGTTTCTTGATAAGAAGAAATGAAAGTACATGTACTATAAACATGTTTCATACTCTGTTATTTTGTCAGGTAAAAGCCTCCACGTTCCAAACGTGCGCAGCTACCATAATGCATGCCGTAATCAGGCATGTAACAGAAAAATGCAGAATATCTAGCAGCGATTGACCAGCAAGATTTGCTGTTTGTGGCTTAGCGGAAACCTCAATTCCGATCCACTAAAACTGAACAAGAACCAGGCAGTATGTGCGCACCGTTCGCAGGTTTATGAATAATATTCTGTTGTTGAGGGAAAATGTTGTTAAGTTATAAGGAAAACATATGACCTCACTGAGACATTTGAAGGTCTGTGAAACAGTTTTGTGATCTCTGCTCACATACTGAGTTATTAGTTTTTCTGTCACGTGAGAATCGGCCATACCGGTCCTTTGAACCGAAAGAGAATAGTCAGATTCATCAGGTCTGGGAACTACACAAGAGAAGCCACGGTTTTTTTCTTGTTATAAATAGCGTCCTCTATAGGCTACGTTTATTAATGGTATTAAATGTACGTTTGGGTACGAAATGGGCTTTGTCCAGGCTTTACACATATTTTTTGTAAAATAAGATTTATTTCGTTCTCAGAAAAAATTCTTGTTTGACCCGCATTGCCTCAGGTGCTGGTGGATGTGTAGAAAATCTGATGAAGGGCCGATCAGTTCTGATCTTGACAACCGACTGTGTGCAGAGAGTTCCTTGTCCAATCCAGCCTTCGATTCCAAGGAAGCTGATGATCTGAATGAAAATTAAATCCGAAGACGTTTGGCAGTGTCAAAGCGCTACTAGCTTGCGCCCTCAAAAAGAGGAATTATGCGTAAGCCCTTTGCAACAAGACCACTTCGTGTCTGGTCCATGCACACAGACATAATTACAAACACAGAAAAAACAGAAGTGCTGACCGGGAGGGAATAGAGTACCGAAGTGTGACGTCACTGTGAACCAGAAAGTGCAGTGCAAACCAATGGAGTACGCGCGCGTGTTGGTTCACGCGCTGGTTCTCGCGCCAGTTCCTTGTACACACTCATTGTGCGCGTGACGTATTCACTTCGGTACTCTCATGGTGCGTATACCGCCTTGGACAGGGGCTCGTAGAACATGTACACTGCGCAAAGTGCCCTTTATTGAACCACAGAATAGCGTGCGCTCGCGTGGCCCACGCGCAATGCTAGTGATGCAATAATGATAAGGGCATTTTTTGAATTCCTCAGGAATGATGTGACGCACGCATGCACACATACGCGCAGCAGTACATTGGCTTTGTACAAGTGGGAGTGACAGCAACAATACTGACGTTTGACTTACTCAACTTTGACAAACATACTCTATTTTGTGTCATTAAATAATGGAATGTAACTTTACTTGAGATGATGAATCCCAAGGATATATTTCGGATACTGTTAGCTGTCTCAATTTGTTCGTTTTCAAACGGTAAGTAGAGCAGATGTAGGTATATTCTAATGTCACATGTTTGCCATGTGCTGTCCAGATCTGTCAAAGTTCTTGCGACCCTTTGAATCAATGTATCATTGAAGAGGGCTTCGGTAAGGACTTTCGAGAGACTAAATATTCCTGGACAGAAAGGACCAGATCCCATCGATTTTAAAAAGGAATTATGTCACTCTGCAGTCGGGCTTCTCTAAAAGAGATGAGATCCTGTTTCTGATGCTGTAAACCGGCATTCCATACTTACGGGACCTTGCCAATAAAACATACGTAGGCCTAAGCCAGTGTCTGGTAAAAATTGCACAACTTGAAACCTTGTAAAGAAGTTAACAGATCCATGTAATAAGATTTTATGACTTGAATGCATGGGGCTTAGCTTTATTTACATGTTATGACTATTACTTCCTTTGTAGTAGTAACAGGGAAAACATCAGTATTTTATATGTATGACCTCACGATTTTGGTCTCCTGTGTTTTTTTTTTCAATCTTATTTACTCGATTTGTGATTTTTGCGTTTGAGAGATTGTAAGTTTATATTGGGTTTTCGCCCTACACGGATGTATATTTTCAGATAATTTTGCATAGCCTGTCCCAAGGCAGCATTGTTCGTCGGCTCGTGAAAAATCACAAACGTTTTGAGTATAAGCCTGATATGTCAGTGTAAATGTTCCAAGAGCTCTCGGACAACTGAGTTTCCGGTATTTATAGATAATTATATATCACAGGCCGGTTAAGGGAAAACATACTCCAAAATGTGTCTTCTTATATTATTTAAAGTCATTATAATTTTGCCTTAAACCTTTAAACTTATCCTTCATCGATCGCTTGTGTGTTGGAAATTTGATGTTAACACACGTATTAACGTTCGTCTTGTCATTGTATGTCAGTAAAGTAATATGTTGAAAAATATTTTCTGTAAGTCTCCTCTTTCTGAATAGAATAATACTATATCCTGAATGTTATTACTTCTTACATTGTTTGCGTATACTAGGTTTTCCTAACTTTGCCCTTTTCCCTAAAACCATGTTGTTTGTATTTTGAAAGAAATCATTACTGGTATTACTGCCCTTGCAAAGTAACCTTACGAACAATGACATTTTTAAAATGTGTAAACATAAACCAACCGTTCGGACTAAAACGATCTAACAGTAATTAACATCTTTTTGCTATTAAAAATCCATGGATTTTTTGCACTGACATGATTGATATAGTTTGACATTCAAAACATATTGTAACGGGTATACGGGACTTGGCCTACACTGGGCCTGACGAACCCCTACAATTAACCCGCCGGGATCAATCTGGATGAATCGGTGACGCTTGCTGAGCTTCACCCCCAGCAGTGATGATACCGCCACAAACCTTTAAGAGGACATGCCTTCACGTCAAAGCCCGGTAGACTTCATTGATGGGAAAAGGGGAAGGGAGGGGAAGGACGCTTGGTGCATAACGCGAGGGGAAAAGTTGGAATCGGGTAGTTGGAATAATCTGAGTCTGTCGTGGAGTCTTTTCCCTAAACCTTTACTCTCAGGCAGAATTCCCAAGACAGACAAAGACAGACAGTTCAAACTTATAAGGCAGTGGAGAAAAATTTCTAGGACTCTAAATTATGTTTCTGATTGATTTACATCCAAAAATCATCCTTCAAGTTCAAGTGATTCTTCTTTGTCAGGTAAGGTGAATTCAGCCTGCATAGGCTATGTCTCTTCGTTTATTCTAAGGGTCAAGATTATTGCTGGAGCTGCGCATTAGCTAAATTAAGACTGGCAGCCAGTCTATTATTATAAACCTCAATTCGGCCTCTTCGTGTCTATACTCGGCTCACTACTGCTTTTCGTCTGTTTTGCTGTCACAACTCCTCTTTCTAGTTCGTCACGGAGTCTTTCTGCTTCTTCCTAGTACCAGCTTGTTTCCTCCTACAGGGCAGGCCTGTTGTGGAGGCGAACAGAGCTTTCGAATGTGATGCTGGCTCACCTTTTAGGTTCTCGGCAGGGCGGAAAACCGCACGCGTATGCTGATAGGCTAAAAGTGCGCATTCAAGGTTCAAGGGCGCTAAAACGACGTTTGGCCTATTACGCATTGTCCAGGAGAAAGAACAAGTCATCGGTCGTTAATGTTGCTCTTTTCAGACTGAAGCAGACGCAGAGGGTGCGTTCGAGCGAGCTACTAACACGATACACCTGAGCGCTCGAACGGCTGGAGTACGACCCGCGGGTCAGCGAGAGTATACTCTCGCTAACGGAGGAGTATACTCCTGCACCCGGGTACAATGCGCATGTAAAATACTTTTGTTAACCAGAGTAACCGCGCGAACGTGCCCCAAATGTCCGTAGAACTATTGCGTTTTTTCACAAGGTTATTGCTTTATTTCGCAAAGTTACTGCGTTATTTCGCAAATGTTAATGCGTAATATCGCAAAAGTATTGCATTGTTTCGCAATGAAAATATTTTTTCATAGTTTAAATTGGCACTAATGGACTTCCGTGCATGTGCGCTTTGCAAGTCGCATAAGAATTTAAGAGAAACAGCGCATGAAGTAGCATTGGTGTTAAAATGGATGGCTTCTTCACATTATGATGGAATTATTCTGTAAACAGTTGGCATTCTTGGTAAGTTTGTGCAGCTAATAATGTTTGACTCGCCCACTGAAAAATCACTGAAATACACACGATCTAATTCCATCCTGTCAAATACACAGAAATGATTACTTTCTACTTGGGAATAATAAAGAAAAGTGCATTTGTCACAATATTAAGGCTTCGAAACAGTGGGTGGTACTAAAAAAAACCCAGTTCATTACACCCACACTTAACCAGAAATCAACAGAGTGCTCTCAGTAGGGATTATCACGGTCTTTGAAAACATTTTATTTTAAAGTAATATACTTCAAATAAAACTGTCTGAAAAGTGCGGTCTGTATGCACGTTATTTTTCAAAGAATACCAGTCACTCAAAAATTGCCCAAATATCACTGTTTATAATTTCTTTGCACACAATATTTCGTCTAAAGCTAGTAACCGTGGACCTTCGAGGGACGAAGACTTGACGGACGAACAAATAAAAGCCCTCTCCCCCGAGGAAGTGGCGAACTTGGCAACAATAGGTAAGCCTCGTTGTTGCTATGAATGACCATTCAGATTACATGCAACCAGTTTTGCAATATTCTATTTGAATTAAATATACATATATTAAATAGAAAGAGAGAGAGAGAGACACTCACCCACACCCTGGACGCTCCAAAGTGACATACAATGGAAGTGATATTTCGCTGCGTCAAATGACACATAGCGCACATTAACATGAAAGTGACACCAAATCTGCAACATATATCCAATACTGCTGTTGCTGAATTACATTTTTTTGTACGGGTGAAAAGGTTTCCACCGAAGGCTAGAAATAAATTAGCCCCTTGGGACGAGGGTGGGCCATTCAGTATCCAAGAAAAGGCAACTTTTGCCTGAATATTACAAATTTGAAACTGCCATTAAGGGATTTCATGTACTCTGAAGCGATTATGTTTCGGATATGAAATTGGCATTTCCCCCACCATAAGGTCAGCCTTTTGACTTCGCCGATTAAACTCGTTTAAAATAGACCTATTAGTTTTATTGTTTTCGGAAGGTGTGTGCTTACTGGAAAAATACAATATACTCTTAGAATGATCGTTGAATGTGATGCCGAAAGTAAACTTGAGAAGTTGTCTCCACGGGGTAAAAGCTGGTGTGGGAATGCGCCGGTTTTCGTATCTGGTACCAATCAGCACTTCGGGGTGCATAAAGGCTAAAAAATTACCTGATTGTTCCTTTGCTCAGGGACCCAAATCTTTATCAAGAAAAAGCTGGCAAGACACTACGATTCCAAGCCAACGCTGATGGACATGGTTAGGATAGGTTGGTAGACGATTTTAAGTTCCATTATTAGGTCCCTTTGTATTACATGTGAAAGCGATTTGTGGTAATTTTCACTGCAGTAGCACAGTCGCTGTAGTAAGTGACAAAATTCTCTCAGTGAAGTCGCTTTATTTATCACAAGTTTGTTGCAAAAGGCAGGGGATTTTAGTAGTTCTAGTGTCGCCCGGGGGAGCAGATCTAGAAATTTTTCCGGGGGGGAGACCCGTCAGATTTTTATAAGTCTCGGATTTTTGCAGACCTGGGGATACCATTAAACGTAGTACTCTTTTTACACACACAGAGGAATGTCATCTTTTGTTAAATTATTATTACTATATATATAATTGTTGTTTCATCTTATTTGTGGAGTCAGAGCAGGAGGGGAGGGTTGAACTCCGTCCCCCATCTGCCCATTTACGTCCTTTTGAGGTCGGTCTAATTAATTATGTGTGGGTGATACAATTAATTCAGTGCAAAATGTATTTTAGAAATATAAAATAACTGTTGTTCAACGTATATTGCCATTGCTAATTTCAGACATTTTCATCGTTGTTATCAGCCTATAGGGAACGGAAAATGCAAGAAAAGAGGGTCTATAACGAACCGGAGCCGGCGCAGAAGATTGAGAAAGACAAGGAGAAAAGGTTACCGTGTCAAAGCCCAGATCTAGAGCGCCCTCTCGTGACGTACACTGGAATGAAGTTCAAATTGGACTGCAGTGTTTGGTACGAATTATCAGAGATAGTCCGATCACAAGGCGAAAAAAAGTGCCATTTGACCGTACGGTTTCCCCAAGATTGGCCACCAAGCTCACCAATACAAGAGGCAAGCGTTGGGTTATCAACCCGGCGTCATACACGTTGTAAATCTGACAAATGAAATGACTGCTTAAAGACGCCTTTCCACATGCGCGTCAACACTTTCTTCAAGCGTTGCGTAACCCTCAAAATCGCTCGCGGGCAATTTTTTGATAGTTAGTGAAGTTAAAGTGTGGTGATCAAAGTTGCGCTTTTAGGCCACTTAAAAAAATAGTTTAGCATCAGTCGTGTTTGTATTTTTTTAAATACTTTTGTATGCATGCTGATCTGGACTGAAGCAACCATGGAACGAAAGTGCTCAGGTCGCATGTTGTGCGTGTACGAGGTTGTGTGGCCGTTGTAGAAACTACTGGGGACGAATAAGGACATCGGGAAAAGACAACTCAAAGAAAACACGCGGCAAGATGTTTTTTAACGCGGGCGCTGATGCTAAGCTAATTTTTTTTATGTGGCCTTATTATAAAACGCAGTGATACCCTTGCGCTCGACCATCAGTAGAGGAAGCCGCTATTTGCCAGAAGATACTAATACTTGCATCAACAGTTCCGCTTACACGCCTACGCCCTACTGATGCAAGATTCCATAAATATGTTGTGGCGTTCTTACGTAATCACAGCTGCCACCTAAAATGTTTGTAATTTTGTTTATTGTTCAGCGCGACGTTAAAAATGAGCTGTGGCCTTTATTCAGTGCAGTTGGCTACAGGGCGTTGGCTCCGTCTCGTTGTCATGTACAGTCCTTTTTCATATTTTGTTGGAGGCCAGTGACCTTATTAAATGTTCATGAGAGCAGATTTTTTTATTTCTTTTGAGTTTTCTTCAGTCTATCCGTTTGCCTCATGTCACCCTTTCCCCGAGCCGATTCCTTGAGCTTCATAAGAAATGGTGGAAGACCCGGGTATCGATCCCGGTACCTCTCACAACCCATATCGCTAACTATGACTGACATCTAAGACCAAGACGATTATGGCACCTTGCCGTATAAACGTTTTTAGGGCGCCCTGGAGGAACATCGCCAATCGTCAATATTGACGCCAATATTTGCGACCAAATTCACTACTTGTGGGCGGTCGCAAATATTGCCACAATTTCTTTTCAGCAAGGGGGCACAACACTACTTGGCTTGCTGGAGAAAAATTGGCGGCAACATTTGCGACCGGATAGACAACGAGTCGAGAAACTGGTCGCATATATTGGTGTCAACATCCGCGACTGAAGAACAGGTCGTGAATTTTGGTCGCAAATATTGACGAGATATATTCGCGACCAGAGAGCGAGTCCTGAATTTTGGTCGTGAATATTGACGGCAATATCGACGATTTGCGATGTCCCTCCAGGGCCACCCTAGCGTTGCGTACACACTGCGTCCACGCGCTTCACTTTTCACGGACATAAATATCGACACCATTGACAATAGCACACGTGTGCGTTGCGTTAAGCGTCAAATCGCCAAGGTAGCGATTCTGACGGATATGCAACGCTTGGCGTAAGTGTTGACGCTCATTATGGAAAAGGCGCCGTCTCTATAGACATTTCAGCTAAAAAGCTTTGAAAGCTTGTGTAGCGTCGTGTTCGATATTTGGCTATGCGACAGTGGTGTGGGTGGGTGTAGGTACATGTGCATGGGTCCCATGGGTCAATGAGAGTACCCTATGAGGACCCCAGAGCTCTTTTAAACAGGCATGAATTGAGACTGACATCAAACATGTTTTTTTACTCAACGGCTATTTCCATATTGCAATGTATATATCAAAGTATACACAAGGTCAACAAATGAAAAGAATATTTGAATGTTTTAATCTTATGTGCGCGATAATAACCCAGGAAGTTGACTTAAATTTTATTGTTAATTCATTTCGGTATTTGGCCCTGCCCGACGTGTATTTTAACACTGAATACTCAGTGTATGCCTCCGAAGGCTTTAAAAAAAACACACACACACACACTCAAGGGTGGGACTCGAACCCACGACTTCGAGTCAGATGTAGCAGCGGGTACGGCAAACAACTATTTTAAAGATGGATTTGCGCCGAGGAGATGTAAATTAAGTTGGGGTTTTGCCCTGCCCGACGTGCCCGATGTGTACACGTGCCCGATGTGTAAACGTCGGACAGGGCAAAATCCCAAATTAATTTACATCTCCCCGGCGCAAATCCATCTTTGAAATAAATTTCATAGTGTTGTTTCTTTTAATATTTCAAGAAATATTATGTGCTGCTCATGGTTAAATAAGGATGACAGTTACAGGACGGAATGAAGAGACGATTGCAGTTTGACTTTAATTAAGGAACCACGTTAGTTGATATTAAACTATAAAATCTTGCCTTTTACATGTACATTCGCAGTAATGGAAGACAAATTCCTCCTGATACCCCGGTAACCTGGCAATTCCAGGCCAACGGATCGGACACCTCAGAACCCATGAACACTCTACAAGGTATCAGGCAGGGTTACCAGTTCTTCGACTCCAAGAAACGACTGGTTCTCGCGACTATTAGGCAAAGGAATGCTGGAAAATATTTGTGCCATCCAGAGGGTGGCGGAGATTTGTTTGGTCGATACGACGTCACAGGTATGAAAATGAACTCGTTTTTGAGGTTGTCGGGAATTCGTAACATTAACATCAGTGAAACCCATCAATATCGGTTGTACTAGTACTATGTACCAAGTGTTTGGATTTTTAGAGGCCCTAAGCCAGGTTTTACTATATGGAATTGAGGAGAGACATTACGCAGGTTGGGGGTTTCTGTTTAGAACCAGATTGTGCTCGTTAAAAAAATTTCTGAGAAATGTGTTGCCGGTTTAAAGCTTATTGCCATGCAGACAACTGGCTGTTTTGAACGGTAAGGCCTATAGGCTATAAGCCATGCTTCTGCTGTTCCGAACTTAAATAAATTGAGTTCTTTGAGTTTCGGCACAGAAATAGCAGGACCAGTTGCGGCGCCAGACCTCGGTGGCTGTGGGTGCATGTGTAGAGCAAGGCAAAATCACGTCTGGGTTATGATGCGGAGTCGTAAAACGGAAAGGTTGATCGCCGTGTCGTAACGTGACAACAGTTTTGTGGGTGTCAACGTCGGTGTAGGCGGCTTTTCGCTGGGTGCATTTGCACCCACATGACGCCACGTAGCGCCGCCACTGAGCACGACGTTTAGAGCCACTTGGGCTCGGCAAAATGTACTCGGAATGGCAAGCTGTTCAGCTGGTATGCCGCACGATCGGTGTTATGAATGCATGGCAGTGGCGCGCCACTACTGTATTTAAGTTCAGCGTTTTGCGCAACTGCGCACTATTATTGTGCATGATAGCCGGCGTATAGCCTATGCCTGACTATCGAAAAAATAAGCAATTATGTGTACAAAGATAAGCACGACAGCAAGGCTTTCTCCCTGTACTGACATTACAGTTTTATATGCTCATAAACGGGTTATTTCCATTAGCATAAAACCAAAAAGGCACTAAAATATCTTTTAAAAATTACACAAAACGAGAAATTATTGGTCGAGTCATATTTGCTTTTACGGGCCTGGTGTGCTCTGACCCGATATTACTAATTGCTGATCCTCATGAAAGCGTGATCTCACCCCACTGTGAAAGTCAGTAGTGTACGTTTGTTTCAAAATCACCACAGGGCATTTTTGACCGAGCCCCTCTGAGTTTTTATGGCTCACTATTATTGGTCTTTTTTCAACTTCAAATGACATGGAATGGCATAATAATCAACTGTTTCTTTTCTCCACAGTTGTCGAGGAACCATACTTTCATCTTAGTACGTAATTCACATTTCTTTGTTTATAATTGACATATTTGTACATGCAAAAGAAAAAAAAAACGTAATTGTTTCATTCATTTCAATTCTGACCCTAATAGTGTTCACTGGAATAGAAATTACCGCCTGCTATTTTGATTGCGTGTTATGGCTTCAAGAGTAGACTCAAAGCCCTCTCAGGAAATGCCGTGAGAGAGGGGGCTCTTATCAAAATTCACCCCCTACCAAAAAGCTCATGACGCTCAAGCCCCCACCCTTCGTTGCGCCACGAGGGACTGTGGTGTACAGCTATAGACCTTTTTCCTGTGATGTCACAATCGTGCTGGACCTATAGTATGATGTGTTGTGATGGTAATGAGTGCATAGTGCTATTCAAAATAAACTAGTCAAGCATGCAGCGTTTGCACATGCGCTTGCACGTGGTTGAAGCTGCCCGTAGGAATATATGCGATCAACGTGGCCAAGGCGGTCCACAAGTGGTGGTATTGTTTACTTTTAGTCACGTGGGTGAATAAGGTCTATATATGAGCTAGTAGCTAACTTTTTCTTTGTTTATCAGAAATTAATCCCTTTTGTTTGTCATTGGCCATGAATACTGATTGTAATGCCTCTTTTTACTCCAGTTTTCGAGTCACATAAAGACCAACCGTATGCGGAAGAAAGAGGTAATTCTGTTACATTCGAGTTTGTGTTGCCATTGTTAATGTTGCCTGCTCGCTGGTAAATTTCAACTGATCCGATATGAATTTGGTGACACAGAACTTTATTTTCCCTTTCAACAGCTGATGATACCACTCTCTTCACTTTGTGGAGTGCATGGACAGGATGTAACCACTGCGGCGAGTGGGGAGAAAAATTCCGCTTCGGTGAGAGCTGTCTTTGCCTCAAAGCCAGTGTCCGTCATTTTAATTACTAACAAAAATGGCCATGTAGTATCACAGCTGCCATCTGTTATCTGTGCAGTGCCTCGTCAATGTCGAGTGGCACCAAGATATTTTCTGTGAAACTGTACAGGGTATACCCAGCNTTGTTACTTAACACATCCCCCAAGATGTCTGAAAAGAATTCCCCAGATTCTTGCGAGACGATGATCAACACAAAGCAGGGGGGTTCTCTCCGTCTCATACCTTGCTGCTTATGGTACAGGTGGCATGCTAATTGGTCTCGTTATTTGCTTGTTAGACAAAATGAGAGGCAGTGAATAAAACCGGTTGGCACGGGCGGGGGGGTCTTGTCCTCCAGTTCTAGTAATTGAATTGTTGACAATACTAATCGATCGCCTGACACCTTTAGTTACTTTTTGTCTGCTCGAAGGGTACTGCTACGCACGTTATCGTGTAAATGACTTCCCAGGGGGCGTACCCTGTCGCTCCAACGTTCTCCCTTACAGTGAAAGGCAACTCTTCTCACAAAGGAAGGACGAGAAAATCATTAGGGAATGTGAAGAAGCCTGTCCAAGAGGTAAAGTAATGTTCCAGGATTAGTGTTTATAGATAAGACACACGCATGACTTTTTTTTCACGGAACCTTGAGAAAAGCAAAAGCACAGGAGGGGATAATAAAGTGAAATTTAATTTTCAGATGAATTTATGTGTGCTTTATTCTATAAGGTAAAGAAGGTAATTCCATGTCAGACAGTAAGGCGATGGATACATACTATGTTGATTTCGACCTGGGTCGTCCGACAATCCCGCCTGAAGGTTAGCATTCCCTTTGGTACTCTTGCCTGAATTATTATTGATTTTCAAAATCTCCTACTCCCCCACGAGGAATTTGGCGAGAAATTCCTCTCAGTATTGCCCAGTCGCACTTTATCGAAACAGCTGCCTTGGACTGGAGGGTAGTAGAACTAAACAATGTCAGCAGGTCCGCACCTAAAGACGCACAGTTGCGCCTCATAAACTGTATAACCACCAAGAGTCACTCAACTGTATGTGCCGTACCATCATCAGTCAGTTCTGACATGGTTGACTGAACTGTCATTAGAAAAAGGACAATATTATTTAATAAATGGTGGTTGCCATTTTCCAAAATATTTACCATGTCCAAGAAAGGAGGAAATTAATCTCAGTTTCGTTTTAAAAAAAAAAAACACACTGTATATCCGTATGACTGTAAGTACATTTTGGCTAGATTCTGTGTTTATCAGGGAGTTCTTGACTATCAACATTCAAATCAAACAGTTTTTTTTTTACTTATCAGAAATATAATCTCACTCGTTGAGTTTGGAAGCCTTGTTGAGATGTGTGAAAGTGTATTATGCATTCTTTGTCTTTTTCAGTTGAGAAGCAAATACTTTACGTAGACAAGGGAGGCTCCGTACGGTTACTTTGTCCAGGGTAATGAAAATAATGTTGTTTACAGAAAGAAAATAACAAAAATAGCGGTAATGTCAATGTTGTAATGAGTATTTCTACCACCCTCTCTCTTCAGTGAAAACATTTGAATGAATAAAGATTTCCGTTATTTAACAGAAAAGTACAGCATTAGCAATTCTGACTCTTGTTTGGTTGGCCAGATTTCAACATTTTTTTTTAGTAAAAATCAGTAAAAAACAAAAACAAAAAGGGTGGTTTGCGGGCGGTTTGAAGCACGTTGGCTGCTCTTTTCACCCGTACTGTTGTGCTCTATAGCGGCGGGCTACAGGACGCGATCCGGTGGCAAAACGGCACCCAACATTTGATGCTGTCGCGCCAGCGGAGCGACCGAGTCCACATCGATGCCATGCATGGGCTACACATTCGCAGTGTCGTGTCTGAGGATGCACAGGTGTTCACATGCTACCACAACCGAGTGCGCGTGGTCAGCATTACACTCAAGGGTAAGCAGAATTACACAGAGTAACTGAAGATTTTGTTCATGCAAAAAAAAAACTGATCAGGTGTCCGGCAGCAGATAGTATTTCTAACTGCAAGGCTCACAGCTAATTCTTGCTTGGAAGAGAAGTGTGCCAGGCATGCACCGTCGTACAAGGGTTAACAGGACTACCTGGTACCCTTATGATGAGCAGTGGGGAAGTCCATTCAGGTTTGGTCTGGATTTTAATTGTTTGATTCTCGTGTTTTCTGCACGATTTTTATGCGGTCATTTTGACTAAGAATTTGTTGCAAACTATGGGACAGAGGGACCCCCTGCCTTTGTGTCGGTCATTGTTCTACTGGTATTAAGGAATTCTTTTCAGACATCTGGGGGTGGGATGTGTGAAGTAACAATAGACTTGAGTGTGTATAGGGATTGGACTTGTGGGGGGGTTACCCCTCTGCCCTATTTCGTGCCTGGAATAAGACAGGCAGCAGGGTTGGAATCAGAACGTTAGCTCGAAAATGGAAACACACTGATTTGGACCCTATGGCGTCATAAATTTCTGTCTTTAAAAAGGAAGAAGTCCGATTTTGAAAATTAATCCAAGTGTTTTCGTATAACTATTTATTTATTAAGTGTGTCCTATTTTCTAATAAATTTATACTTTTACTTTCTGTTCCAGTTGTAGAACCAGTGAGTGTTAACAAAAGTAAGTGTCTGTATATGTTATTAACTTTAAGCCTATTTAATGTTTCAGTGCAGACGTTACAGAAAACCACCTTTTTCACGTCATTATGTTAAACAGCAAGAACAGTTGCTCTATTTCTGGTTTCATACTCATGGAGCTGTTCTTGAAATTTTGGCTGATGGAAAGAGCAATAATAATTGTAAACATTGATATCACTTGTGGCAATATCTGTTTAAGGTATAGAAAAATATGGGGGGGGGAAGGACTGACAGGTCTTAATGGTCATGATGGAGAAAGGTTGGGGTCATTCGGATCTGGATTGCAAATCGCTTAAAAATTTCACAGAGAGCTTGGATGGATGCGTTCATGGCTAGTAGATGAACAATATTACTGAGCAACCTGATTAGAGCGACCAGCAACAGTTAAAATCTGTATGCATTTGTAAGTATTCTTGAGGGTGGGAGTGAACATTTCTGTGTAATGCGCGCAGGAAAACAGACTGGACCTCGGTAAAATAGTTTCTTGTCGAATTTAACTTAAGTAATCTTTCGATGGGCCTTGAAATAGCATTTTGTTTGGGAGTTTACTCTTATTTTCATGGGATATTGTTCTTGTTCTTTTAATTCCTGTGTTAATTCTCCTTTCATATCACAGAGGTCAAGAACAATTTGATGTTCGTGGGTATAGCTCTAACTGGGCTGGTCGGTTTAATCATCTGGGCGTCTGTCTACAAAAACCGCAGGCGTCATTCCTTCGACGTCTGAAAAGGGACCTATACAATCAGAGAAAAACATAGACTTGCCAGTATGGTGCCTCACAAAAGGGCAAGAATCAGGATCCAGTATTCCATGTGAGCTAGGTCACTCTGTAAGCTAAGCAATATACACGCATTTTAGAACCACCATCGGAAATGACAATTTGCCCCAGGCGTCAAGCGAGCAATGGTGTACTGACACCTTGAGGCATTACTGTTGTATAATAAACGTCTGATTCATTACTGGTGGGAGGTCGAGTTGCGTTCAAGTTTCTGTGTCTCCCCCATCCTAAATGTTTCTCTGCAGACATTTTCTTTTTAATTTGACAAAGTGTAGTTTATAAACATTCAATCGCAGTAGGCCTACGTCGGTTTAACACACACCGCTTGGATTGCTGTCTATTATACTGCCTCAAACAAAAGCAAGTGAATAAAGTACTTGGATTCATATTCATGAATACCTGGCACAGTTTTTCTACTCCTATTGGTCGAAACGCGTCATGTGACCGTGTATTAACATTTTGATAATGCCCGCCTAGACGTGATAATGCACAGTGCGTAAATCACACGCTGACACATGGATATCATATGGGACAGTTTAATCGAGTCTGATTGGTCAGGAGTCTGTGTGCGCGCGACGCACCACGTGCACTCCAAGTTCATAATGTTATAAAAAGATTCTGTTGACAACTTTCAAAAGGAATATAGCATAAAATGGACCGGGGTGTTCGGAAAATTTGAGAGTAAATTTTTAGAATAAAATCCATCACATGTTGACTTCTTTGACTCTCTTAATTAAAAGTTATTTATGAATGGGAATAAATATTTGCTTTGCTTTAGACCTTTCTTGGGCCTTTGCCTCAGCAAACAACTATTTTTCCCTATCCCAACCGAGATTTCCCTATCCAAACGTAATAGGGTATCCTTACGTTTAACTGTTAGTGGCATCAGCTTCATTCTAAAGCACTTCCCTTCAATACTGAAGAAATAAAGAAAGGGTGATGAAGTTTAAGCAAGCCAGTCACAGTTTGTTTCTGTTTTAATGTGCTGGTCACTATCGTTTTCGAATTCTATGGCGCATACGCAATTTTGTACTGGACATTGGAGTGCATACCACAAGCAGCAGATAAAACCCGAGTGTCATGATTGAAATCCTTCTGAGTATGAGTGAATAATGTGTTGCTTTGGATAACTAACAGCAGTTTCACAAACAGGAAATCTATAGATCTGGTTGCGTCAGTGAATGATTGTTCTCAGTCGTATACTCTTTGCACTTTAAAGAATGCCCCCTCCAAGCAGTTTAGTTTTGTTGATAGTTTTCGAGGTGATAAACTTACAGATTTCTGAAGCGGGGACGTTTGATGAATCTCCAACAATTCACGCTGGACTTTTGTTGGAGACTGGGGGTGCCGAAAGCTTTGACCGCGTCCGCATCCAGCCAGCCGTTGATATCGCCCTGGAGACTGTTAGACGTCGCGTGGACACCGGTGTGTACCTAAACTTCAGCCTCACGTACGAGTACCAATCCACCGGTACCAGATGCATCCCGTCCCCTATGATCGCTCCCGGTATTGCCTCCGACATGTTTCACCGGCAGGGGGTGAGAGTGTTCCTTGGTCCGGGTTGCAGCTTTCAGTGCAAGACAGTAGCCGACCTGGCTGCTTACTGGAACGTCCCGGTCCTTACTGGTGCAGCGACGTCGGGGGATCTTGGCAACAAAGACGCGTACAGGACGCTAACACGCAGCGGGTTCCACCTCGGCCCACTGGGGCAGTTTGCTGTGGCTCTGTTCAATAGGTGGTCTTGGACTCGTTGCGTTGTCATCTGGGACGACGTTGGTCTGTGGAGAATCATCTCGTTTACTATTAGGAGCAGATTACAGCAGGCAGGTATATATGTCCATTCTGTCATCCTCGATTTGCAGAAATCTACACAAGATGCATTGGATGCCGCAGCTCGAAAGGGAAGAAGTAAGTGCTTAAAGTTACCACATACTACCGTTACTCTGCGTTTAAGTTAACGAACCATGCAGTCATTTGTTGTGTGTACTCCGGAACCAAGTAATAGGACTTTGAAACAACAGTACGTCTATTCAGTTTAGAAATTAAAGCAAAAGTTATAAGTGGATGAAAACAAGTACAATGGATTAGTAGTTTGATGGTTTGACGTGTTCGCCTTTCGTAATTTATAACATGCTCCCACCTTTGGTCGCGTTCTTCCTATGGCCTTTAAAACTGCAGTTGGACGTTGGTAAAAAGTAACCGAATAACTCCCAATGCAGCTTTAAGACAATCAGATGATAATATACAGTACATACTACTAAATGCTCAATGAAAATTAATGGGACAGGTGTCCATTTTGATCGAATTCTAGGTAAACTCGAAAACCAACTAAAAGGTGATGTTTCTGCAACCATTGGCTTCCCAAACAAGTTGCAAATAAGCAAACTGAGAGTTGTCTATAATGATTATTAAAAGGGACCGCGTGCGGTATCTCTTGTAACTTCCGATTCAACCTGATTTTCAGACGCCCCAGTACCTTTTACAGCAAGTCTCTGCGCTAAAAGTTGTCAGAATTTTGGATATTTTGCATTCTTAATATCTCCCCCCCCCAGTTCAATACAGTGGGCCAGCGAGCAAAGTTCTTCCCGAGTATTCTCACAGCTGAAAGGTTTGTTACACCATTTGAGCAGACCCTCAAATAAATAATCTCTTCGAAAAAAAGTACTATTCTCGTCAAAGAATCTTTAATTTCCGTTGTGAGTGCACTGGTAAGAATGTTTTGCTCACTTTTGCAGCTTGGTGTTACAGGAATCCCGCTGCAAATAGTTTTGAGCTCCTCAGCTATCTTATTGCGAAATATTTCTACGCTAAAGCAATTAACTTAACCGGTACTTTGCCACGTAACAAAGATTTGAATCGTTGCAAGGTGGAGGCTAGACTAAGAAAAGGTAAAAAAAAAAAGTAAAAAAAAAAGTAAAGGAGATCGATTTCAAATGGCGCACCTGCAAACCTTCTCTTAGTCGTAGCCGTGTATAATTGTTATACTTAACGTTTTCAAGGAAACTATTAAACTGGATCAAACTTGGTCTGCATACGGTCAGGCTGACAAATATGCTGCATTTAATTAAGGTCGTGCAGTGTTTTATAATTTTGATGTGTCACTCACAAAGCAAAGTTATAAAGGCACAATTAAAAAATTACATTGGCAGTATTAACGACGGAACCCACAGTTTGAATGCCATTTTCACTCGTTCCCGTAAATTCTCATAGAAGTATTCCCATATGAAAAGTTTTGATACCAAATCGGCCTGCTTTCAGATGAAATCATGTTAAAAACCCTGCACGATTGTGAATGGCACTGAACAAATTGTATTCAAAAGCTTATATCAAATTACGATATAAAACGCGTCAGAGTATCCAAAAGTAGTGTACATCAAATCTGAAAACAGACGTTGGTCGGGCAAGGTATTGGACCACAAGAACAACGCAGCTACATGCACGCAAAAGATAAACAACAAGAAGTTTAACATTCGTAAACTCCTTTACCTTCGTAAGCATATCTGACTGACGACTTGGTTTCAAAAACGTAAGGCGTAATCCTTAAGGTCAAGCTGTTTGAGGTTCACTGGGCGTCCTCCAAGTCCGCTGGATACGCCACAGTTTGCTATGGTCTCGTTTAGTTCGGCCTCTTTAGTTGTTTCATCTGGCTTGCCCAACCAACCATTATGTAAAACGACAAGCACGACTGATGATATACCTTACATGCACGGCTTGGCAAGAGGCCATTAAAAGTAATTAGTTAACCCCCCCATCCGTGGCTGCCTTTCATATTCGCGTTGAAGATCATGGCCTTTTTAAACAAGCCATAGGTTCTGAAAATTCTATTCAGTGTAAAGGAGAGCTTCCGGCTCTGTGTTCTATTTCCATGGTTTCTTGGTCTGATTCCGCACTAAATTCTCTTAAAAAAACTGAAACGCTAGTGCGGCTTACTTTATTTTAATTTTCTCATAGTTATATTTGTAATCGCTCCCGTGGACGTGGTCCGGGATATCATGATCAAGGCGTACCAGGCGGGATACACCAGCGGGGAGTATGTCTTTTTCTCTGTGCACTTGATCAACAACAGGTGGCGCTTCGGAGACTCATCATGGCAGCAGGTATAATGTTACTGAACCTTAATGTTCAGAAAAATAATACACAGAATGTAAAGGAGATTAAATATTCTTCTACCCAATGCCCTCTTCGAGATGTGAGATGCAACTGGTAAGGAATTCCGTGTATGCTCAAAATGGATGGTTTGTGTTAGGAGCAAACCATTTTTTTTTCTGGGGGAAATTTCCGGGGGTTGCACAGCAATCGTTAGCAAAAATTGAGTTTTATACAACAAACGGCTAGAGGGGTCAATTTGTAGTTCTGATTTTCATACTCTTCATCGTCTCTTTTTTATTTTCTTCTTTCACCCTTTCATCCCTTTTTTCTTTTTCTTTTTTTTCTGTGGGAAGCGCTCTTTAATGTCACTCAGTGCCAATGGTTTTGTTGAAAGCGACTCAGATTAATGTTTTTTTCGGGGGGACATATTTAGAATGGTAATTGTGGCCTGTCTGAAAGACATTCTTGAAAGTAGTGGAGGGGATTCGCTTCACTGGCCTCGGAACGCATTCGCTACATATTCCTTCACAAGACAAAAATCTGCTTAGCGCTTCAGAGAGCGTAAAAAAGCAGAGAATCTTTTCAGAAGGCGTAGAGATAACAAATGCTATCCAAAAGTTTGGAAACAATACATTTAATGCATTTGGAAGGTCTGGAATTTGATCTTAACACACAGGGAGACGCATTCGACGCCGAAACTAAACTGGCCTTTGAGGCCCTGATGACTTTCCGTTTATTCGAACCCAGCAACGATGACTTAAGAGACTTCCAAGAGGAGTTGGAGCTGCGTCGAAAGCGAGATTTTAATTGGACAAGTCCAGCTGGAGACGACGTATGCCGAACTTGTTTAGGTTGCCTTTAACTACTGCACTAGTTTAAATACAGAAACCCATTACAAAAAAATCTAAGAAAAATGAAAAAAACAACAAAAAAAACGGGCCACATAAAAATGCATCCAATTTCGTCTTCCCCTATGCAACCTTCAAACATCTAAAACTTCTGATGGCATTGCTGCCTTCTGGAAGTCAACGTTGTTGATGATGAATGATGGTGCATCATTAAACTATGCCTAAATTCATTACCGAAATGCAGTGCATCATTAAACTATGCCTAAATTCATTACCGAAATGCATATGCCCAGGTGTTTATTTTAACCGTTGCTTTTTCACTCTATAACGAGCAGGTTAGCACATAAAAGACTAACCAGTTCAAGTACAAAAAATTTATGTATTAGCTTTCGAAGGCAAAAAAATGCAACCCATGGGGTTGTTTGTTGGGACTGTTTGTTGGCTACGAAAGCAAATGCAAAACTTTGATTTATATTGAGGCTGGTTTTTAAAAGTGCCCTTTGATTAACATTGACTGATATATAGCTGTCCACCATTTTTGTCTGAGAAGTTAGAAATTTTGCTGTTAGCTACGAGTACACAGGTACTTGGAATTGGAAAGTGGTGAATATAAGATTATAATTTTTGAAGAGAAAAGGTCTCTTTTAATCTTGACATCTCTAAAGCATACAAACTCATACAAAATTAAAAGGGTCAAGAAATGTCCACGATTTTATGAAAACAACCAAGTGTAATAAAGGGTTTGAATCTATATCTCTTTTATCTGCAGTATAATTTCTTTACAAGCGCCTTCCATGACATCATCATCTTGTTTTCTCTCGCCCTAAATGAGACTTTAAGCGAGAATGGCAGCTTGTTAGACGGTTACACGTTCTCCAGGAAAATGTGGAACAGGACGTTCCAAGGCAAGGATATGTAGAGAATACTTCCCCATTACACTTGAATCCTGGAATTTATTTTACAAATCTAATTAATTAAAGGTTATTATACTGACATAGTCAACCAAAGTTTTAGATCCATCTTAGTACATTAAAGTCTTTAAAAGTGTTTTTAAGGAAACATCTTACACAAGACTATAAGCTTGGGGAGGAGTTTGGTATTTCAATTCAGTATAAATAAGGAGGCACAAATTGTGCAAGCGGCATAAGGGCATTGTCCTATTTCTAAAATGTTTCCAAACTGACCACAGAATACCCCGTGCATTCCCGTTCGTGGACGGTTGGAAACATTCACGTTTTCCGTTAACCTTTGCTGTCAAAACTGGAAACAAATTTCTATTCAGAATAATGGAAATGGTGAATGCACGCGAAAGGGGAGAAACACTTTCCTTTCTTTGGTCATAATGATTACGGTTTACTCAAATAATGATTGAATGCAAATGTTTGGGACTGAAATTCAGACCTGCTCTATCAACCTTAGAAGTCAGAAATTGTGCCGGAAGATTTTTTGTTGATTGAACCAGTGTTGTTTCTCCTCAGGGGTCTTTGGCAACGTCTCTATAAATGCAAACGGAGACCGCGACACTGACTACTCTCTGTGGGACATGACTGATGCAGTGAAAGGAGACTTTATGGTACGTTGTTGGTGTGCACTGCACACCATTTCTCTGAGCTCTCATTTTGATAACGCGTAGCTTTTAATCAATCAGTGAACAGCGGAGCGTTTTGGCAGTCACTTATACCGAAGATGAGTATGATTCTAATGCGTCTGAGATTTCTTTGGTAATTTTAATTAGGTAAGAATTGCACGTGATGAATCCTGAGAGCAATAAAATCAAACGAATTAATCACCCAACGCACCTTTGTGTAACTTAGTTCCGCTTGCTGTTATACTCTTAGTTTTCGTTTTGTATTGTTTTCCTGTTATTTTTGGTTCCATTTGTTTTTTATTTGTTCATGTATTTCATTGTTTGCAATTCTCTTGATTGACAATCTAAATGGTGGCTGTCCCGTTCAGCAAATTCTTTGTCATACTGTACTGATATTTATTTAGGATTTGAATGCCTTATTTCACATACACCTGTATTGCTTTTGTAACTTTGTTGAAAGCAAATTTGTAAAAATAGTGACTTTGCAATGTGTAGATACAATGGATTATTTCTTTCTGATTTGTATCCAAGGTGGTGGCCAACTTTTACGGTGCGACAGGCGAGCTCAAATTTGTAGGTGACATCGCTTGGCCAGGAGAGGTGACGGGTCCGCCGCCCGACACTCCGTTGTGTGGGTTCGATAACGAGAATCCTGCGTGTCACATACAAGGTCATTAACGGATCGGGAACCAAACCGCTGTCTAGCGACGATGCCAGAATATGCATACGCCGCTCGATGGTGCAACGATGACGTAATGTTTGATATATTTTTAGTTTACGATTTGCAGATGACATCCATCTCTCAAGTTTATCGACCAAAAACGTCAATACAAATTGATCTGATTGATCAGATTTACTGGAAACATGCTACCCCGATCTAAATGAAACTTTCCTTCCATTTGGTATCTCTAAAAGTGAATCGAGGATTTTTCGGTCGAATCTTGCACTAGAGGTGTCGAATTCGGTGGGTGGGAGAGTCCAATTCTGCCGATGAAACGTTTACGCGAAAAATATTAAGATTTGCCGAAGTTTACTTTATGTAGGAAAATTTAAAAATATAAATTTCCATCGATTCACCCTGGCAAATTTTATATCGTGGCGATTTTCCAAAATAACGATCGGGAATAATTTTGCCATAGACTCCATGGTAACGGCAACGGCGGCCATGTTGGCTGCCAGCATTTCAAACCTGTTTATTTTCCCAAAAACTCGAGAGAAAATTACATTATAATCACATGACCTGATAAAAATGACGTCACTGCCACTTGAACAAGCGACATAAGCAGAAACTAGGGACATCGCTAGATTGTGATTTGGTCCACGACCCGATGAAGCCTGGAAGGGGACAGAGGGGATTTTATTTTCATATTACAAATTTGTTCGCACGAATTACAAATTCGTTCGCACGATTTGTAATTTTGTCCATACGAATTGTAAATTCGTATCATTTCGTTCGTACGAACTACTAAAGAGTTCTTAATTCGTTTCCACGAAGTGTTATTTTGTTCGTATAAATTCGTGCGAACAAAATAACGATTCGTGTGAACGAATTTGTAAAACGAAACCCTCCTGTCCGTTCTTCCTGGGCTTCATAAATACGCAACTCACACGCATACACTTTCCTTCAGTTGTGCGAACGAAATAAAAATTTGTGAGGAGGGAATAACAATTCGTACAAACGAATGAGTAATTCGTGGGACGAATCAGAAATTCGTGAGGACGAATCAGTAATTCGTGGGGACGACTCATTAATTCGCAGGAACGAAATTACAGTTCGCGCGAACCAATTTGTAAATCGGAAAAAACCTGCCCCTTCTCGGTCACGGTGCTTCCGTGCATAGATCACAGATCTCATGTTTGATTTCAGCCTGTTGTTTTCAGTTAGGAGTTCTTCCCGATCATGCAGCAGATTGGACATTTACATTTCATTTGTGTATTTTTTTCTCTCCAAACCTCATTTGTCCGCAGAATAACATGTTTGTGTAGTCGTTTTAAATTGTTTGTTGATCTTCTCGGGTCTCCACAGAGTCAACCTTGACGATAACCATCATCTTCGCTTGTTGTGTTCTTATCACGTGTGCAATTGCAATTCTATCAGTTTACAGGTAAGATGACTTTACGGGAGCCAGTTATAACAAGAGGGTCCAGGAATGTAATTCTTGCTGTAGTCTTTGTATACCATTCAATCTTATTCCAATTTTTGTAGTGCCAATTTAAGGGGAATTTGGGTACTTTTTTTTTAATTTGTCTGGTATTGCAAATTTATATTTAAGAGCAAAGTTTGATGTAATTTAGGGCAGAAAGCTCGGTTTGATAACTATATTTTTGCATTAAAGGTTGCCCATATTTTGATATTTTGCGGTCGAAAACTTTATTTTGTTTGGGTGATTCGTTACTCTTTCAGTTTAATTAAGTTTGCTAATGAGCAATTTTTCTCACAAATATTTTCAATGAGCAAACTTTGGGTTGTCTTCACAATTTGAACACCCACCCTGAAAAACCAGTGACTTCCTGCAATGACATCAAGCCTGATATCCCCCTCAGTGATTGTGTCAGATAAACTCCGGATATTAAAATTGCGTTGTACAGAACACACCTTTCGTTGCCAGTAACCAAAGAGAGGTTTCACATGGGTTTCTTAAGATCTATACAAATAAATGCAAATGAAACCCTGTGTGCAAGTAAAATTCATATCGTGGATCCTTGAAATGGTGGTCTGGGGGGCTGCAGGAGAAAACTACCAGAGGGAAGTGAGGTTCAGTATCGGTCTGACTCTTTTTGCTCACACCCTCTCAAACACGATATGTACCACTTTAATTTGTAAATCAACACCAGCAAACAGATGTACCAAACACAGCAAACAATGACAGAAAAAGTTGAACAAAAACCATGGCCATTAAATTACATAACTACCTTAGCAACCGACAAGGCGTCTCGCTATCACTGTGAAACGCCCAGCAAGGAAAATTACGGACGGTTTGATCGCAAAGCGGGAAAAGTAAAACGTATTTCATTGGTCTCCGACGGCTGTCGCGGGAACTGAACCATTTTGGGGCATAGGGGAGATCTTTCTTTTCATAAACAAATGATGGAATGTACAAAATCGCTGTGACAAACATAAAGAAAAGAGAAAAATGTTATCGGGAACAACATTCATATAAGTAAGATTTTTCATCTCATACTGATGTCATCTATCTCGTTTTGCCACTTCCCTCTTTTCTCTTCTTTTTCATCCTTGGGTTGACAACCAGTCATTCATAATGGTTGACAGGAGAAGGTCTTGAGTTTTACTTTTCACGCCAAAAATGTAAACCTCTATGAGGAGAAAGCTTATAACGAGACCTTCGTTTTATGTCCACAGCTCATCTTGCCCTCAGTAAATTTGGTTGTAAACATTTTTCCTACACTACATGACATTTGGGGATTATACACCGTCAAGGAAAGATCCGATCTTTCCTGCGGAGTACAAATCCTATCTGTCAAGCTATTCTCCACCCTGAAAACTTGTCAACAGCACTGGTTATTTGTCGGGCTGTCAGCCAGAATTCTCTGGCTTCTGAAAATTTAAGAAGGATGAAGATTTAAGAGTAGGAGGAGAGACAGAGCCAGCCTCCCCCCCCCCGAGATCGAAATGGATCAGCCATACAAACGATATCTTGATACGAACTTTGTAGCCAAAATGACAACTCCGTCATGTAAAATCTTGAGTTCCATGCACAGGTTTAAAAGGGGGCGACATTTAGTTTGTTAGAGATGTAGGGGTCCGTACTTGGGGGGACAGGTTTAAAAGATGTAAACCCCTCTTCCATTTCATGCGAAAAGTGTTTTCTTTTAGACTGTTTTTCAACCTTCTTCTCTCCCTGTTTCCTGTGATTTTCAATGGTCAGATAGTTAACAGTTATTTATTTCGTCGTCCTGTAATTGGCGCCAAATGCGCTGTTTGATGAACAGGAATAAACTCACAGATTAATTAATATCCACGTATCCCACCAGGATTCGAACCTGTGTTGGATAGAAAATGTTGGTTTGACTGACTGCGCCACACGAACGTTTGTTGCCGAAAAAGAGTCGTACATAATTATGTTTCATATAAACGGTTAAATTAAACCCGGGTCATTATGAGGTCACAATGAATTTTTAGAATAAACTCAAATTTTTCATGATAATGAATATTAAAATATAAATATTCATGTTTAGCGATTGTCCATAACTTATTCCAAACATAAAAGCGGGGGGGGTAATCTCCAATGGTGTAGCGTGTTATATTTAGAACTATTGAAACTTCTGCATTGCATGGGATCGGATACTCCTATTGCCCTCACATGTGCTCCTTCATAATATGATTTGCTTAAACACTTCTGAGTGCTCTGAATCTTCCGACATCTCACGACAAATCTCGCTCTCTACTTCATCGACCCCATGCACCACTGCACTTGAACGCGCACACAAAAGCATCGAGCCGAGCACCTATACCCGCCGCGACAGCGACCACTTCGGTTTCTACCTGGTCAAGTACACTGGTGACGGCGAAACGCCGGAGTAAATTCGTTCCAAATAATCATCCTTGACATTTTGAAGCTAAATAAGCCGCCGGCTAGATTTTGATCAACGCCAAGAAACTTAGAGAGAAAAAAAAACAAAACCAAAAAAACCTTGCTGAGGCATCCTGCTTTGACAGAAAGCCGCAGGATTAGTCTCCCTTGTCCTCAATAACAAACTAAATCCTCCTGAAACAGGTTATACATACCTTAATTGCCTTTTTCCCAGTAACGGGATAAGGTTACTCTGCTGATATAGGTCACAAGTATTTGCCTGTAATTCTGTGCATCATGCTCTGTGAAACAAGTCCGCATTAAACATTTGCCCATAGAGTTGAATACCATTATGCCTAAACCTCGCACTGGAAAAATCAAATCACAACATAAGCTTTTCAACCAATACAACCTGAGTTAAGGGCGCACGGCCGATTTTCTTGCGATCGACATTAATCGAGAAACTATATATTAGCGGTGTTCTCAGTAAATGGTTGAACTTGTACCTAACTGACTCATCTGAATGGTAGAAGTACATGTACATCGACTTGGTGTGACGCAAGCAATTTTGTGCTTGGCCGTATATATGTAATTCAAAGCTACCTTAGAGTCCCCCTCTTCCAGGAATAGAAAAAATGGGTACAATATATTATTTGAATACTTGAATCCGTTGATTTCCGACTGCATGTCTATTATATGGTGCCGACTGCTTGTCTCTGTGTTATTTGTATGTGACATGATTTGTATACATCGTGCATTGAATGAATAAAAAATAGTTATGCACGTGGCCGAGGAGCTGCATATATGTTAACAGCTTGAGCCAGAAGAGAAGCTTTTATGTACATGCAGATGATAAAGCTAGCCAACAATTTCGCGGCTCAAAGCATTGTTAAAAACGTCTGTTCTTTTGTACAATGGACAATAGTGGAGGTAGGGACGTGGTTTAAATCGAAGAAACGACTACAAAAGGTGAAGATTCTTCGATTCAAATGGTCTGGACGCTTCGCGTTGCTCATTCGAATCATGGAATCTCTATTTTTTCATCGTTTCTGCTTAAAATAATTACTGGAAACCCTCAAAAGTAACTCACCCGTCAGATTTGTAATTATGAGCAGCCTTTTGCGATCTGTTGAGCACAGTAACTTGCAGAGTGCAGAAAAAATAGTACTCAGCCCCTCCCCCTAAAAATGGTAACCCTATATTGCTCATTACCGGTTCTCAATAGAGTTTCGCTAACTGAGAAAATAAGACTCTTGTGAGTTAAATTTGAATAAAATCTGGTACACTGAGTTATCTGATTGCCCATATTATACCAATTTGAATTCTCCCAACTAAAGACACTTAGTTACACCTCGTGGTTTGGGCAAGCTTTTGCAGAACGACCGCCATCTGTGGAATGGATGGGTTATTTTTTGCCCCTGTTATCCACTGAAAACAGTACACTGGAGCAAGATGTGTCTCTTATGTCAAAGCTTGCCCCAATTCACGAGGTAAAGCAACTGCGTCTTTAGTATGGAGAATGCAAATTGTTATGTCCACCTGAGTTGAAATAACCAGATTTTATTCAAATTTATTCAAAGGCTTATTGGAGTTGCCACTGTCCCACAAGCAACCACCATCGAACTGCAGGGAGTGATCCGGTGGTATACTGCACCCGTACAATTCAGTCTTTGAAAATGACAACGCAAGGTTTTTCCACAGACGCATATAAAAAAAACCTGGACTTGCAACGCCTTTCTATGAAATAGGAGCCAACTAGCACGCATTTTACCGAACCGAATACAAATGCGCAGGTTGGCTCGCTTCCATTGACGCCAGAGAGAACGAAGGCAGACATTGCCGGGCAGGCTTTGTATTCGGCTTGGGAAAAATGGCCACGAGTGGATTCAATGATTTCTATAATCTGATTAAGGGCATTGCGAGTCCATATTTTTTTTTATATTCGTCCGTGGGTATTTCACGGACACCTCGATCAGATTTACTCGATAAGTGTCGCTTCTCCCCAGTTCGAAGGTTCCGCGCACGTAAAAAAAAAGTCATACAAGACATCTTGTGAAAAGATTTTTATCGAAGCGTTGATCGAGAGAGTTTGTTCTGAAGCAAAAGAATTTAATAAGTTTAATACATTGCTAAATAAATTGCCCGAGTTTTTAAATATAGGAATCTCGGGAGAGAATACTAATTATAGAACTAATTCAAACAATCCTGGCGTAAAAGTCAAGAAGTATTTTGAGGTCATTCTTGAAGACATTTCGTCACCTTCTGAACTTATTACACAGTACATGTAATGTCTTTTCAAAGTTACAGTAAGCAAAAGCCCTGAAAAACGGGCAGTGGTCAAGCGAATGCAACTCATGACATTGTGCGGCAAATAAACTTGGCAACCCGGTTTTGCATTCAGAAAGGTGAAACGGGATGCAGACATCCTGAGTAGGGCGTGGCAGATAAAGTGGGAGGAGCTACAAATGCAAAACGACAATGCCAGGGGACCAAGACGCTCTTCCTTGTCTCTGGTACGTCGGGTATTTTAGTAAATAGATTTGGCAAAGATGAATCTGATTATTGTTATTCCAACAGCGATATGAAAAAAACAATGACTTGAGGGCAGGAGGAAATATGATTTCCCCCCCCCAAAAAAAACCGCTTCAGATTCTCAAGTTAGGTCCAAATTTAATGAAAGCCTGCTTTTGTGTCGGTAATTGAAATTTTCACTACTTTATCATGACAACGTCAATTTACTTCCAGGAAAATTCTTGATAGATTCAGAGAATTATTCCACAAATGTAATGTGCGACCTTGTATTGAATGGATAATGGTCGTGGTTGTAAAAACTTGAATAAAAAATGCCATTTTATCTTCCTCCAGGGTAGTGCCGCTATTGACACAGACGAAGTGAAGCAGGTATTTACGAAGACTGCATTCTACCAGGTGAGTGCATGGACAAATGAAACTGATAGCTTGGTTTGTTATTTACACAAAATACGGAAGCAAAATGGGCCCTTTTGGAAGGACGTTCTGCGAATAGAAAACAGTAGAATTTGTCTGTCAGATCTGAAACAGAGTAACTTTAATTTGATGTGTCTGAAATTAAGGTTCTTATTGACGAAAATGGTCGCAAAATGTATGCATAGTATTCTTTAATTAAAAAAAAATGCGTGTGGTATACTATTGTGGCGTCACGCCCCTCCGACGAAGGCCAGGGCGCCCTCTTCCTCAGAGCGCGGCGCCGGACGGCACGTACAGGAAGGTCCCTGAACGGCTAGGCACCCGACCGTTGGGATGGAAGTATACCGTCCCCCAAGAAATTTCGATGATCTCTGGTTTTCGTTGAGACGACGCCTAAACTGATAGGCCCAAAGCTTAATGATGCAACCCAAACAGCAATGGCTTGATATAAACTTTGCCTGGACACCTGATTTACATTCAATCAATCATACACAACCAATACACCACTAGAGGGCGCTATTGACGGGACGACTGTGTAATTATACGTAACTGGACTTCGTCCGGAGCGGCGAACACCACAATTAATTATGGGCATCCAGTGCCGAGTCAGGGACTTGGGCAAGTCTACGGGGGGGGCTTATTGTCAACGCTGCGCTACACGCAACTCGCGTGACGAGATAGCAGGCCACCAATAGTACATCAACTGCAAGCTCCCATCAGGAGCTATACCGCACCAACAATTAGCCCCTCAACCTACCGACCCTAGCCCTTCAACAACACACAACTTGAGACTTAGACCCAGTCACGCTAGGTCAGGTGACTTTAAGGTTTGAACAGGATTCTTGACGCATAACCTCAGGATCAGCCCTTGACACATCAGAACGACCGACCAACTGCGCTTGCGCACTACATGTGACCAAGCAGTGACTTCCACTAACCAATCACCCCACGCGCCATTTATAACTTCGCACCGCGCCCAGTGACTCGCGCCATCTCTCACGTCACATTATTATTTTGAAGCTCCTTCGAAACGTTTTGACCATGTTGTATAAAATTAAAAGTGTAAGTCATTCCATGGTTTACATTTACGTTAGGGTCGCACTGTAGCTGTGAAGAAGCTTTTCAGAAATGAAGTTGACCTCTGCAGGAACACAATGATAGAACTAAAAAATGTAAGAAGCATAACAATTCTTAAAAAGCTGATTTTTTCACAGTTATTGTTAGTACTGCTTATTAGGATTTGAATTATGGACACTGACTGTCTACTTGAAGGGTCATGTCATGCGTATGAAGTACAGGGAAAGAGTTTCACATCAAAGCAAATGACTTTTGCCATATACATTAGGTCGCTCAGAGGAAATTATTGAGGAAGGCGTGAGGAATGCCCTGCAAACGGTTCCGCATGCAACCTTGTAAATTCACTTGCACAGATTCTGAGAATTTCCGAAAATGTTCTGAAGACAATTATTTTGTTGAAGTCACATTTTTAACAGCGACCCCGTGAAATGATAAAAAAATAAATGAAATCAGTCAAGCTCAATTGTTAGGAAGTATTAGTTTTAAACTTCAGATGCGGGATTTGGAGCATCCTAACTTGGCGAGGTTCATTGGATTGTGTATAGACGTTCCTAACGTGGCCATCGTCAACGAGTATTGTCCCAAGGGGAGCCTTATGGTATGTATATTAAACCTATGTATATGTTTCCGTTACACTTCTAAAATTCTTTGTAGAAAAAGTGACAATTGCTTCCCCAACGTCCGTTCACGCTTTGTAATGACATCCTGTTTTGCATTTCAGGACATTCTTCAGAATGACTCCATCAAGCTTGACTGGCTGTTTAAGCATTCTCTCATTTGTGACGTCATCAATGTAAGAAGAATCTGGTGTGCTAGTCTAGGTGCTTGACGTTGTTATTGTTTAGATGCGCGATAATCCCTATATACAAACGATCCGCTAGCCTCCTAGCCACGCAAGCACGTACACACGCACGACTTGCGTGCGTGCGTACGCGTGCGTGCGTGGCTTGCGGATCGTGTGTAGGGATTACACGCATCCAAACGATAACAACGTCTGGCATCTAGACTACTGGTGTGTCAGCATAATCATGGACAAACTGTATAAAAACACAAATGTTCGGCTCGTTTGCATGTGAAGAGAGAGCGTATATACCAGCCTCTCTGAACTACTTTTCTTTTTTTTCTCTCCGATTTATGACCAAACGACCTCAGAAATCACGTGATCTGATTGTTCCATCAACTGCCTAGCTTCACCTGATCGAACACCTGTGACTTCTCCTAACTTTCCTCGCCTACCTTTTGAGAGGGGTGTCAATCATGGTATCGCCCTGGCATTGACTGAAACGAAGTGGGGGGCATATCCATCCTCATATGTTTGTGCACAAAACACTACTACATTATGTTAATGCCGCAATACCTACTCCCCTCTAAAATATTCATTCCCCCCCCTTTGGAAAATGTAACAGGCCACTGTCTGGGATAATTGCCAATGCGTTGTAAGCTTGTGGTTGGCGCCAGCACTGTAAACAGATAGTGTGTTGACCTGGAGACCCAGCTAAGCCCTTGTGATTGACAGGGTCAGGAGAGGCTGGCCACGTGGAATTAGTTACTCTGTCTAGGCCCAGCTAGTGCTACAATGGCCTTGGATGAGTGAGTCACGACATTTCAAGCGTGTGTAGCGGGAATTTCCCGTGTATTTTTAGCATCGCTGATGTACAAGTATTTTGGTATTGTTGAATTCAGCGCCCCCACGGCAGCCACGCCCCCAATAAGGACACCTCTCAAAAAACATACTGAAAAGTCATCCTAGGAAGGCCTCTGTCTGATTTATGTTGAAAGAAACAGAAAAAAACATTGAATAGGGATCGTTTAATTTACTCGAACTAAATCTCAGACAATCTCTGATTTATTTTGAAAGAAACAGAAAAAGACATTGAATCATGGGAAGCAATTGTGTCTGAAATTGACGTCGTTTACGTCGGAGGGTATCACACTCGATAAACTGGCGTATAGTTTGAGACTCTATGTATGGAATGTAACTTACCACAAACGTTATGCTCTCTGTTGTTAAATTCTTGAAATAATTCAAAGAAACATATGTCTCTCAAAACTTTAAGAAAACAGGACTACAAATACGGAGCTACAGAGCTATACGGGTAAATGAATCAGTCCAGCTGAAAGAGCATAGGGTCTTACAGCTTTTGCCTGGATATGATTTGCCTCTATCAATTAATATTCAGGGTATCCAGTACCTCCACCGCAGTCCACTGTCAGTCCATGGCAGACTCAACTCGTCCAACTGCGTCGTGGACAGTCGTTTCGTTCTCAAGCTCGTCGACTTTGGCTTGCAGTCCTTTCGAGTTGGAGATGCACAGGATCGGGGGAGCCACGCCCAGCAAACAAGTACGATAGGGAGTTTGTTCCAAGTATCACTATTTGTGCGTTTTTTGTATACAGTGCTCCTGTACATGATATCCCCTGGAGCTCTATCCGCCCCGGCGAAAGAAAGACAGGTGGTTACAAACGGGTTCTTGCACGCGTTCTGCGAGTATGCAAAGACCATACTTGCCGCAATAAATTAGTTACGTGTACTCAAGCGTGCTCTCCGTCAAACGCGCACCTCATTGCGCACCTATGCGGGGAGTACCCCAAAACACGCCTTCTTTTGTTCGGCTCGGAGCGGATAAGGAACACTCAGCTGCAATGGAACCCACACGTAAGGCAATGAAATCGAAAACATTCGGGTTTTCAACCTGTGACCTCTGACCCTTGCGGCATATCTATTTATATCCGTGGGGGATGCCTGACCTAAGATTCTTTTATCAAGGGTCGTCAGGGAATCTTTGGGCAGGGAACCAGACTAAAGCAACGACCGCCATCTGGTTGGTAACTGTGACATCACTGCAGTTTAAACCACACCCACTGCACGTGCATTGATCACCGTTTACATGGCACGTAAAAACTATGTTCGGTCTCCATAGACTGTGAATGCATGATAGTTTGTGTATTCGCGCGTGCGCAATATTGACATAATAATGGTCGATGGCCTGAAAAATATTCTAGCAGACAACGCATATCAGTGATGACCCATGTGAGGGATTGTCCTGCCATTTCCCTTGAAGACCTTCTATGTGAATAAATTGCCAAGAGTCTATCAAATGGTAATATTTAATAGCTTCTGGTAAGAAAGTTCGCCGAAAAATAATCAAAGAAAGTGGAAAATGTCAATTTTACGACAAAGTATAATTATGAAAAATTATCGTTTTTTCGTACGACAAAAAATATAATATCAAATCAGTGCTCTGAAATATGTGATTGCGGAGCTCTCCGTAACTGAGTACCTTCTTCAGGGCAAGCAGATTCAGTTCGAGTTGGCCTACTGCGTTGCACCAACGCGTATAGTCACGTCAAATTGCCCGACACAAAAACTTTCCGTTCTCATTCATACGGTTTCTACGGCGGTTTCGACATCGCGAGATATTCTAGGACATCAAGCCTGCTTCCAGAGTTCCCTATATTGACCTGGCGAGATAATTTATGTCATCAAGTCTACTTTCAGAATTCACTATGTCGACTCGTCGATATACATTTTGCTGTCAAGTCGATTTCCCAATTCTAGCAAGTCGACTTGGCAAGAAAATACGCTGCAGGTCACGTTCACTTGTGGGTAGTCAGTTCATGCCTGGATTTTGTACACTTGATGACATGAATTATCTCGCCAAGACGACTTAGGCCTACTACAATTATGAAGTCAACTTACAACATAATTTATATCGCCAAGTCCACATAGCGATTTTTAGAAGCAGACTCATTGACACAGGCTATCTTTTCAAGTCGACCAACCAGAATTAGGGAGTTGGATTGACTACATAAATTTTCTTGCCAAGTCGTCTTCCCACAATTGTAAAGTCGACTTGACAAGATGAATTATATCGACGAGTTGACATCGCAAAATTCCAAAAGCAGACTTGATGACATAAGTTATCTCGCCAAGTCGTCTCACCAAATAAGGGAGTCGACTTAACTACATAAATGATCTCACCAAGTCGACATAGGGAATTCCAAAAGTGGACTTGATGTCATGAAATATCTCGCAAAGTCAACTTACTGGAATTAGGAAGTCGACTTGACTACATCATTTATCTCATTAAATTGACTAAATACGCTTTATATGAGAAATTATCTCGGTATCTGAACAAGTCTGATGGCACTTCCAGAGCTCCGTAGGTTTCCTTCTTGTATGATACTTTCTCACTAGAGCGTTCAGAGAAATGTCAGGGAAAACCCGGCAAAACTGAAAAAATCCCCTCTAAAATGTTACCTTTACTTCCAGCTTCTGACTCTGTTACTTTGGAGGTACTTGATAAAGACAGGCAAAACTTTGGAAAAACTTAATTTTATAGTTTTCAAAGTAGCAAAAGGGACTTTGAGTGTTTAAATTCTATAGTTTTAAATTATTTGTTTAAATTCAGTAGGGAAATGAGGGGCAAACAACTTTATCTGAGCTTAATGTTGATCGATTACTTTTGGGATCCACCTGCCCGAGTCAGGAGCCATTTTACTGGCTTCTGGCAGTGTACGTAGTGGGATTCGGTGCGCATGCGCACCAACTACGTGAGGGGCATGAACACAACCAGAAGTTAACGCGCAACTTCAGCGATCGTCCAATGGGGGCCTGCAAATCGGCGCGTCCGCCTTTGTGACGAAATCACTTACGAACCCGATTGCCACCGTGGAAAAATTCAAATCTTCCAGGCTTGCGCGTGCGTGCGATGTTTTTTATTACTAGGTAACGTGTGATACGTAGGGATACACGTCACAGAAGCACAATCTGGTCGCTACGAAACCTGTTTAAACGCAGCAAGCGGTTACAGCACTTCCTGGGACTTATAGCACTTTCGGCCGTGTCCGAAAAGGGCTTCCAGCTAGAGCTACGGCTAGGTTTATTGTCTACGCGTCTCCACGAATTTCAAATGGAGTAAAGACCTAGACCTAGCTCTAGACAAGAGATTCGGATGCAGCCTTATAGCTTACTTCCGCCCACAATGGCAACGGCGGCTTTGTGTCCATCATTGATCTCTATTATACAGTAGTTTCTTCCTGCTAAGCAATAATTTTCTGACAAAGTTCTGTACATGAGAGTTCGAGGAAATTGGACACGATGCAAACATAGCTTAATAAGAATTTGTTGATGTAATTACCGGTACGCAGAGTTGCTCTGGGTCGCACCAGAGCTACTTCGAGACCCGAGGCGAGGCCCGACGAAAGAGGGCGACATCTACAGCGTTGGGGTGATCATGAGAGAAGTAGCGACTAGGGAGGGACCGTTCGAAGCCGAGTTAAAGAACATGGAAGTGAGCGGTAAGCCGAAATGTTATCAGTTCCAAGGTTCAGTCCCTTTAGTCAGTCAGCAAAACTACTCCAAATCTAGACTTCCGGGCGTTTCACGATAGTGCGTCTCCAAGAGTTTACAACGCATTGGCCAATCACAGTGCGCGAAAACTGTCGAACCAGCGCACGTTTGGAAAGGGTCGACAGATTTCGTGCGTTGTGATTGGCAAACGTGTGGCAAACTCTTGTTATATGGAGGCACACTATCGTGAATCGCCCGTATTGTAGAGTAAGTTTTGACGTGCTGCAGTCGCGTCCGTCGCCAGTCAAACTCAAGTATTATTAAGTAGAGCATTTCCATTTTTTTATTGGGGAAACTCTTTCTGAATGTTCAATTGTAACCCCCCCATTCCCCCTCCCCTTCAAGGGAATGTGCTAGCACCTCCTCTGAAGGTGTTGGCGCGTTCCGTCCCCAAAAGAAACACGTGGTATAATTACATGTCCCTGGAAGATAGCCCCGCCTCCCCTTCATGTGGATATGCCACCGATCTTAAAGCCTAATAACTCACTAGGCTGCGACAGGTCGCGACAAGTTGGAGATACTAACTTGGGAGAGAATTCGCGAATCTAGCGACGATTTTCACTTGAACTCTCACTAATTTGGTACTAATTACCACACATTTGCCTATGTTGCACGAGCTCCCGGTAAAATGTCAGCTACAATTCACCTGGAGTTCCCATTCATGTCGTGCGACTACGTAGCACAACGTTCGTGCGACAAAACAGTGAATATTTTACACTCGCGCCTGTATCGCGCCTGGAATGTCAGATTCTCAGTCACAGTTTTGTTTCATTGGTCGCCACCCCCTCACAAAGTTGTCGCATATTTCTCGCACTTTCTGACTCACGGAAGCTAAATTGAGAAGTGTTCGAAACACGCGTGACGACTTTGTGACTATTTTGAGAGAAAGTGTGTCGCACAAATTGTTTGAACAATTTTTTTTTTCAAAATTCACGCGATACAAAAGTGAGACCCTGCGACTCAAGTGATAAAATTGAGAACCCCCGCGAACGGAATGCCGTTCGCAATTTGTCGCTTAAGCCAAATAAATGGCTACTGGTAATGAAGCTCTGACAAGCACATTTTGTCGTGGTTGTTCAGCACCCTTTGCTTTTGGCTGCACGTTAGAAACTAAATCGTGGTTTTGTCTTGCGGACTAGTGATATACAATTGTGACAAAATCCACATCAACATTGCTGACTGGCTAGTGACTCTGTCGTGCCTCCTTTGTCTACTTGCTCTACTTTCCCGTCCAGAAATAGTTCAGAAGATCAAGTCACCACCCAACGGCATGCAATGTTTTCGTCAACGGACAAGCACCGAAAACATGGACGCCAATGTATCTGAGTTGATCAAGAAATGCTGGGCGGAAGATCCTAAAGAGAGACCCACTGCAAACTCACTCAACGCATCCATGGACAAGATTAGCAGGTAATTAATTAAACAACAAATAGTTGGCCTCACTGGAACACAAAAGCAAGTACACTTACTACAGTAGTCTGTTGATGGCATCTTTAATTTAGATACAATCTGATGGTTGATCCAAAACAGACAGAAGAACATAGGCATGGGTATCCTTGACAATTTGCTGAATCGAATGGAGCAGTACGCCAACAACCTGGAGGAGTTGGTGGAAGAAAGAACGGCAGCCTTCTTGGAGGAGAAGAAACGAGCTGAGACGCTGCTCTATGAGCTGTTGCCGAGGTGAGACGCATTGGAATACCTTGTGAAGGTTTTCCAGAATGCCACTAAACATTTGGATTTTCTATAGCATTTTGATTTCACTTGATTTTTGGTCAAGCGCTTTGACCTTTCGACTAACATAAATGAAAGAAAAACAAAATTCTATTTTATCTATCCTTCTATATAGAAAAAATTGAACAAAAGAAAAATGTTTATTTTGGGGTTTTTTTGCTGAATTTGCAATAAATTGGGACTTGATCTGTTCGAGATAAAATCAACGATTGCCACAAGCAGCATAATATTCTTTTATGAATCATATTCGGTTGACATTGTCAGAAGGCTTGTAGTCTTGAAATTCAAGGAAAAGAATAAACATATAGTTTTGTATTGTGCACTGACTCGAAGAACCGTAGCTGACAGGCTGAAACAAGGGGAGGCCGTTGACCCCGAATCCTATGCCAGTGTCACCATTTTTTTCAGCGACATCAAAGGGTTTACTGAACTCTCGGCACACAGCACACCCATGCAGGTTGGTTTCATATAATTTCTTTTTCATTGCACAGTAAGTACTCTTGGAAATGCTCTTATTACCGATTCTGAAGATCTCATCTCCTCAAAGATCACACCAGTGACAATGTCATAATCACATATATTCACAAGCTTGCCTTATTATAAAGCAAAAAATCAGCAAAATTGTTTAATCAGTTACATGTATTTTTGGATGTTTTGTTCCGTTTAGGTGGTTATATTATTGAATGATCTTTACACGTGCTTCGACGGCATTATCGGGCATTATGATGTGTACAAGGTAAGAAAATATTCACCATTTTCAAATATATGAAGAGTTTTGTTTCGAAATTTCGGAGAGAAATAATACAAACAATATTATTTGAAACCTGCCCTTGTGCTACGAAAGGACTGGAGTCGACTTCCGTGGCTTCACCTAAGAAAGACTTTTGCCTAACAAAACTCCTTCCTTCACTGAATCTTGTGTTGAATTTAACTATTTCTGTCATTTTGCCCTGTTTAACAACTTATTCATTTCATACATGACAATGTAGGTTTGAGAAGACTTCCAGGGATCAGAGACCCTTTCTTTTCTTACACCAATTCGGCAATAAGAAAGAAACAAAAACTTGGGTGTTAAGTGGTGTGTCCGATCTTAAGCAATGCCTATGTTGTCGTCCGTGATGTACCTGCAGGTGGAGACTATTGGAGATGCTTACATGGTTGTCTCTGGTGTTCCAGTCCGCAATGGTATCGCGCATGCGCGAGAAATCAGCAACATGGCGCTGGCCCTACTTGGGGCAGTGGGCTCGTTCAAAATACGACACAAACCTGACACGAAGCTGAAGTTACGAGTTGGAATACACAGCGGTAAAGCATTTACTTGTCTGTATTTTCCCTACTATAAGCTTTCTTAAAAGAAATGTAATTGGTCTGAAAAATGCTATTAAGGCACACGAGCTATATATATATACATTGGTAATTTATGATTTTTTCCACGTCAACGTAAACAATCATCCCAACAAAATTACCAACATATACAGCGTGCGTGCCTCGCTTCGGTTAAGCATGGGGTAAGCAATCTACCTTGATAAGATTTGAAAATTCTTGATAGCTTCACCTGTCACTCTGGAAGTCAAAGATTCTGAAATAAAAATGTACCAACCTCACAAACCAAGTTTAGCCTCTGAAACCTTTTCTTCCCTGCATAATTTCACTGATTGTTATTCGTTAAGGTCCATGCGTAGCTGGCGTGGTGGGGCTGAAGATGCCTCGTTACTGTCTCTTTGGCGACACAGTGAACACGGCATCACGAATGGAATCAAATGGAGAAGGTAATTAATGGGGAAGGTTTCTGCGGTTCCATCGGAACTTTGGTCCCATCTGCAGTTCAATTTTTAAAAGATGTCACCCCTCTCAGCCCTCTATAACAGTTTGTTGAAGCCCGGGGAAAATATGGAAAGATAACATCACTAATGGAATTTCTAAGGCCCGGTCATTAGGGCAGCAGGCCTCCGTATATCATCTCTGCATGAATTATCTGTCAAGGAGGAGGTATACGTCGCCTGGAAGTACTGTAATATTGTACCACTGAACACCCCTTGATCAGTGACTTTGTTGCCGATAAAATAAAGATGAAACGATTTTGAGCTTATTACTACTACGGTGCTAACTTGCCATAAACCGTGAAATAGACATTCGAGATTCTTTGTTGATAAGTTGGGTGTTTGATCATTCACTTATTTATTGGTTCCAGCCATGAAGATACATGTTAGTGCTGATACTAAATCTTTACTGGAAGACTTTGGGTGTTTCCAACTTGAGTTGAGGGGTGCTGTAGAGATGAAGGTAAGATATTTAGTCAGAATAGTGTAGCGACACAGTCAGTGGACTGATACAAGTTTGTCTAGAAATACCTGGTCCCCGGACGTCTGGCGCACTTAGAGGTGCGTAGTCAGTAATTTTCTGGTTAGTTGTCTCCATATGTTGAGAGACAAGCACCGTCGCGTATTGTAACTGTAAGCGAGTTTAACTTTCAACCTCGTCGAAGTTTGGGCTGTGTGTTCGTCAGTACTTTTGTGGAGGGCTGCGAATGGTGAGACTTGTGATTGGAGGGTCTGACGTTTCAATCCTAGCAGGATCTTTCTCAAAGGCAAAATGTCAAGTGGACAGGACAAACAAGCAAACGGAGAATCAACCAAGCATGGATGAATGCAAGAGGACAAAAGGAAAGGTCAAGAAAGCTGCAGGCTGCATAAAGGGGCAAAGGGGCCTGCATGAAAGGCATGGTTGAACAACAGGGGGACGTAAAGTGGGAAGAGATCAAGGAAAAAAATACAATGGAACGAACTGGACACCAAGTGGGAGGGGGGGTATATTCTGAAGACAAAAGAGAGGGAAAGAAAAGAGTGTTAATTAGTAGTTTCTCTCTTGGATGTTCAGGCCAAAGGGTTGTATTGTGCGGAGGCGTTTGATCCAAAGCTTCTACCTGTTGAAGCCAACAGCATCTTTATGGTGCCCAAGTGATTCTGTGCCCTGTAAGATCATGTCAGACATAGAACGGTTAAGAAGGTTTAAGTGGTGGCCTACAGGAGTATCTAGTCATTTGGTGTTGACTGTAGATCTGTGGCCATAGAAACGCTTCTTGAGAGTGTTCGTAGTCTCTCCAACATACATGTACTGAACGCTGCACACCCTGCAAGAAATAAGATATATGACATTAGAAGAGCTACAAGTGATAGTGCCTTTGGTTTCGTGGGTGGTACCCGGAGGAGTGTCTAGAGAATATATTAGATTCTAGGATATGGTTCTAGCAAACAACACATCTGTTAGAATCACAGTTGAACGTGCCTTGCTGGGAGGGGGAAGGGTATCCAAGGGAGGCACCTCTGCCCGAACAATAAGGTCCCGTAGGTTGCGGGGACACCTGTAAGCCACGAGCGGGGTGTCTGGGATGGCACTGGCAAGGCGGTCTGAGTGTGGAGGGTATGACGATTGTCGTTGATTTTTTTGTGGAGGGGAGGAACGAGGATGAAAAGTGGTGACCAAGGGACCCTGGGAGTGGTTTCTTCACGGGGGCCTTCTCCTTGAGTGCAAGACTTCTAGGGACGGAGCGGGCCCTATTGATAGAACATTGAGCCTGGTGATAGCTGTGTCCCCTTGTAATCAAATGCCTCTTAAGTTTCTGTGTATGACGGGAGGAAACTGAATCATTAGAACAAATATGTCTCGGCCTGAGTGCTTGGCTGTATGCAATACCAGTCTTGCAGTGTCTAGGGTGACAGCCGGATGAGTGAAGATACTGGTGGGTATCTGTGGGCTTGGAATACAGGTCAGTAGTCACAAGGTTGCTCTCCTTCCAGATGCTCACACCAAGAAAGTTTACCTGATGGCGGGAGTATTCCGAAATGAACTGAACTGTCCTGTTCAAAGAATTGATATGGTTAATGAAGATGTCTAGACTGCCACTGTCACTAGTCTAGATGAAAAATACATCATCAATGTATCTTTACCAGATCCAAGGGCGGCATGGTGCTGAAGTAAGCATTCGCTCTTCAAGGCTACCCATGAAGAGGCAAGCAAAGGAGGGAGCCTTGCGGGTGCCCATAGCCATATACATGTACCCGTAGATAGTGTTTGCCCATAAAGAAGAAATTGTTCTTGGTTTAACTTAGTGTCGCGACATCAATGACGGGGGAGTTATGTGTCTGTTATGTGTGTTATTGCACGAAGTCTTTATGCTTGGTGCAATAATCTTGTACATAAAGTGGTTGTTGTGTTCAGGTTTATTTAGCCATAAGCCGTGGTGCAGGGTTGAAGGTTTTCGGTGAGGTTGACGTTGTTGTTTTTATAAAGACACTGCGCTTACTGAGGTTAAGTAAGGTTTACAATGTACCTGACATTGTTAGCAACGTTCATTGTCATTCTCTTCAGGGTTGGTATATTTCCAACCAACAGACAGGCCTAGGACTTGAGTCGTCCCGTTCGTGATGTAGTTCCCCTTTTCGTGCGCATAACCACTCGTGTATATGTGAGGTGTCGTAAATATATTTGTGGGATAGTCAGGGGCTGCTGTTGGTGTGCCCCCGTGAATACCCCTCCGCCTTGAGAGGCGACAGTTAGCCAAGTCCACCAAAATAGTTAATATTTTGTCCCCACGACAAAAACAAAATTTTGGCCCACATCATTCCAGGCAAACTCGGAAATGCAGGGGTTATGGGAAGCATTTCCAAGAAAGCATTCCACTTCGTCGTACGTTTGAAAATTAATTTTAAAAAATATAGACTGATTTAAAGGGTAATTGTTTTCTACTTTCTGAACAGGGTAAGGGAACACAAACGACATTTTGGCTCCTGGGAAGCAACGACATTACACTCCAAGGTGATGAGGACCTGCCGTTTGTTGACTGAAAAGGGTAAAATGTCTGCCATGTGGATATCGATGGATGGTCGATACCTTGTCGAGTGACACAACTAAAAACTGACATAGTGGAGTGAATATATTTCCATAAATAAGCACCCGTTTATGTGGTTACATAAAGAAATGTACGTAGTGTACTTGCCACGTGTCGAACCCAAATTACCATTACTACAAGTACATGTATACAATTGTACATGTGACTCCATGTATTAGACTTATAATGAACTGAATCAGCAAAACCCTCAATGATTTTACAATTATCTGTTCTTACCAATTGTTGCATTCCTAGGGTTTAATCAGCTAGAAAAATTGCCTGTATTGTGGTTCAACAGTCTTGTAACATCACGAGAAAAGATGTTTTTGGAACGCGAGTGTCCATCGCACAACATCACCAAAAGAGGGTGCTATCACGAATTTACACCGCTACAACCCCTTTCCTCGGGGTTTGATTTTTTCTGGGACACCCTGTATAACGTATGCGACACGGCGATCTACCACAAAAGAATCCAAACACAATGTTCATAAAACCACTCAAAAATAAAATAAAATCCCACTATCCTTGTGTATAAGACTAACTGAGATGCTCCATGATGACCAGCAGCCATGATGATGATAAGCCCTGTGAGGGTTCTTAACAGAAAGAGGTAAAAAGAGTGAGGAATTTTGGAGCAAAACTTTCTTACCTGGGCGTTGCTTAATCAGCGGCGAAAAGGCCGCACGCTAGAGAGTTCTCGAACGACCAACACCCACAGGCCACAAGGCTCTATTCGAAGTAATTCTGAACATATTGCTCCGCCATTCATAAAAGTAAGATTACGCATCACTCCCAACCCAAACTAAAACAAACCATCGACTACCCAAGGAACACAAATAAAACAATGTTCACTGACTTTGTTAATTTATGCGTAGATGCCAAAAAAGGGTATTGCCTCAATGGGACATGAATCATGATTTCAAAAGAACTGTTTGCTGTGGTGGATGTTCAGGCTTAGGTCATGGAAAGCGTAAAGTGGTTTCTGGGCTGCATAACCAATTAGATGCGTAGTTTTCTGTGCAATAAGTTAAGGGCGATGAATTACAGGCCACTACAGTACATTTAAATATAGTAATAGTATTCACATAGAGCCGTCCAGCATGGACAGCGATATACAGTACACAGACACCTAAAAACAAAGGTACAAGATGTGTTGGCTTAAAAGTAGATTGGATGATGCCCGAACAGGTTTGTGTATATATTTTAAAACAAACGTCCAACCATTCTGCTACAACAAAGTAATTTTTTGCAAGTAGTAAACTTTAAAGTTTATTCCTTTAACTATTCATGACAAAGTTCACCACGATACATATGATGTAATTATAGTATAAATTGATATACCTGCATATATACTAAAGGTAATATTGTGGTTTATAATAAACAGCAATTTTGCTGGACATAAGTAAACGTTTACTCGGAAGTAACATGCCCATTTGTCCTACAAAGAACTAATCCTTTCATTTCCTTACCTTTCCTAAACTTTAACAACACCAGGGTTAGACTGACCCGGAATCAGGGTCCCATGGGGCCTGACCCTTTTGCGGGGGCAAATTATGACCCCAATGAGTGTTTTAGAGACCAAGGCGTTAGTTAGAGTGTATCGACTGCTGATGACGATGTAGTTTAGATGTACTCTTAAATTTTCACAGTTTCCCTGTGAGTGCTCATTTACCTTGCCGTTTTGCACAATCGTGCATGTTTCCTAGTAAAATAATTTGATACTTTCTGGCCATTAATTACATGATTCACGCTTACTCTTTGCACCAAATTAACAAGAACAAGATATAGATAGTTTATCAACTGTCGTTACTGTGATTAACTGGTGTACCACATTATATGAATATGAATTGAAAGACAGTGGAAATAATTTAGTTTATTTATTCAACAGATGATATCTGTCTTGGGAGAAAGCAAATTCTTTGAATTTCGATTTAAAAAACACACATGTTATCCAGATATAAAATTCGTGTGAAAATATAGCGGAGGTTACGTGCTTCAATGTGTGTTCAGGAGTGTTAAGCTTTAGGGGTGTAGTACAGGTTTTGATTAAGCTGATGGCGTTATTGTGAAATTCAGTTTCCAATAAAGGTAGGTGACATACAACGTTTGTGAAAATACAACATATTGTATTTTTATTCAAATACTTCGAAAATTTGATATTGACACACAAAGGTTATAAAAAGACACTTCTTTAGGTCGGAACGGCCAGATGATCCGATGTAGTTCTGCCCTTGAGCATCACATCACACTCTACATTTTCTCAAGTTAGTGACAAATGCTCCACATGTCTGAGTTTCCCGTCAGCGTTTCCTAGCAACCAGAAGGTAGTTTGGACGCCTTTTCCCTATAAAACATAAAACAGGTTTGAGACAAAATTTAACCCCCATGTCAACTTCTAAAACGGAGCTTTCAAGAAACGCACAATTCCAGGCTGAATCTAACCCAGTGATTTCATACCTTCATTTCCACGGCACCTCTCATTTGAATGTCGAAACCTCCAAAGTCGTCCAAAACGGTCTTTGTGGCTGAGCTGATGTGGATTTTCAAAGCTTGATGATTGCAAATAGGAAAACAAAAACTTATGAGCAAATAGCAGCGGGCAACCTCCTGAGTTATGTAAAATGGTTGCCCACTGTTTATTTATGAGCTCACTTCAATTCTGGACAAACCTACAATTTAATCAAATTTTATCATTTGTATATCATTTGGCATCCAATTAAATTGTTCACAATGACGAAAGATTCGAGGCAGACTTTTTAGTACACTGGTAAGATATCCTCCAGGGTAAGGTCTTAAATGTAACTACTAAACAGAATGCGAACTGCAAATTATATTGGATTTTCAACTAGTTCAGTCGAACAAAGTATGACCATGTTAATCTTCACAATGATAAGTCCATGTACCTTCTCCACTTGATTCCATTCGTGACGCTGTGTTCACTGTGTCGCCAAAGAGACAGTAACGAGGCATCTTTAGTCCCACCACGCCAGCTACGCATGGTCCTAAAGTTTGGATGACAATTTCAAAACAGGAAGTTGACATTTCGCTCTACATCCATCAACATTTTTTTTATTATGGCAAGATCGACGTTTATCTCCAGTTAACCAATCTGGAAACTACTGAAAATATTCCTGTTGGTCCACCGCATTACGTATATATGGCCATATATATATGCAGCAGTTGGATTCAAACCTTTGACCCTCCGATGAGTCAAGAACCCTTTCCACTAGACCTCAACCTGCCTGAAAACAGCTTTAAGTCATTTACGGGGCTCGCACTCGGACAACTGCTTTGGTAAAAGTCGTCTTGGCCATCTTTGACGTTTCCAGTGTATGCACACACCCCCATGTGCCAACTGATTTGTTTTCAATGATCCATGGTTCAAACACGGTAGAAGGGGTAGTTAGCGAAAGTTCGCTACCTGTGTGTATTCCAACGCGTAGATGGAGTTTCCGGTCTCTCTTGTGTCGAATCGTAAAGGAGCTGGTTGCCTCCAGCAAGGCCAGCGCCATGTTGCCAATCTCTCGCGCATGCGCTTTGCCGTTCCGGACTGGTGCCCCAGACACAACCATGTAGGCATCCCCGATCGTTTCAACCTGAATTTAACAATGAAGCCAGGTAACTCTTGTATCAAAAGTCTCTCGAGCTACTGCAATGAATATCTAAAACTACTTTATATGAAGTAAAGGTACGCGAATTTTCAACAGAGCTTCAGCTCAACTTACCTTGTAAACGTCAAAGTTTTCAATAATGCCATCGAAACACGTATAGAGATCATTCAGTAAAATAACCACCTGTACCACAGATAAAAAGCGCAAAGTTAGTTTCAAGATATCATCCATTCTCATTCCATCATGCAGTATTCAAACATTGTGGGCAGGGAGGGTTATCCGGCTCACCACTTTTAAATCGGGATATGAACAGTTCTAACAATTCCTCGCTGCTTTAGTAATTATATAAAAATATTACCCGTTGAATGGTCTATTTACCATTGATTAGCAACAAATTTCTGTTTTTTCACGCTCTCATTCAATTTACCGAATAAGTTATTTACCTAACCATCACAGTCCCAAAATTTTAGCAATTATTGACTACATCGGTATAGCTTGAAAAGCTATTAACCTTGCTTCATCTCAGACGTGAATTTGGCAAAGTATTGGTTGACAAACTATACGGCAGCTCGTAAGTACAAAAACTAAACTAATAGTTCGAAATGTGTTTAAAATACTAGCTGAATTCTAAATTCTAAATATGTTCTACACTTTACTGAATACACCTCCTCCAACACTGATGGAGCAGATGTTAGTTGAGGCAAAAGCTGTTGCCAACCACAGTAGAAGTTTCTGCGAACTTTGACAGCACATACAAAATGATGAGCATTCTGTTACCAAAGGAAAGTCTATTTCCCGCTATAAACGAAGGGGGGAGGTACCGAAGGGGCCAATATGATGCAAAATCTCCCACGGACAAAAAAATACAGGATGGTAATCTTGCAAATTTCGGCCGGGCTTTGGGCAATTTTTTAAACTCCACATATTCACGTGGCCTGTTCATAGTTAGCTCGTCTGTAATTCACTGCCAATCAGGGCGTCACTCAAAAGCTGTTCTATTACGAATACAGTCAAATACGAATACATATGAGTACATCAAACCAACCTGCATGGGCGTGCTGTGTGCCGAGAGTTCAGTAAACCCTTCGATGTCGCAGAAGAAAATGGTGACACTGTCATAGGACTCGGGGTCAACGGCCTTGCCTCGCTTCAGCTGATCGGCAACAACTCTTCATAAATGCATCAGGCACGGAAAGTCGCTATTTCTTTTCATTGTGTTTTATGAAATCTAATTTGTACACGAATGGTTCCCTGACGCACAACACGTGCTCCTCATCAACGGTAATATTTCAAGGATATTTCGAGATGCTCGTTTTACCAGATATAGATATTTGGCAAAAGTGGAATTTTACTCTTTTCAGTTACCGTAAAAGAAACCAGACGAAAACAGCTAAAAGAAACCATTCGTGCGTTAGATCAAGAAACTTGTCGAAAGAAATGCCTTGGGTGGTAAATCCTGTCCCCAACGCTTGTCGGATACAGATAATTTTCTGCTTATGAAAGTATTCCAGAAGGAAAAGTGAATTAGTAAGGTACTTACTTTTTCCGAGACCTTTATTAAACCGCTACCAAAAATGGGGGAAACAAAGTGTAAGGGTAATGGGTCACTGGTGGAAGTGGGAGATTGAGCCTATTTCAAGACTAAATCTTAAATCTCTTCCAAGCATAAGAAAAAACCGAACAGGGATTAAACAGTCACTGTACATAGTGCCGCATTGTGACTGATGATGCGTGTCATGTATTCATTGCGGTACTCTATAAGCGTTTGCGTAAATGCAGCATGTACTTGAAATTTGGTCACCTTGGCAACAGCTCATAGAGCAGCCTCTCAGCTCGTTTCTTCTCCTCCAAGAAGGCTGCCGTTCTTTCTTCCACCAACTCCTCCAGGTTGTTGGCGTACTGCTCCATTCGATTCAGCAAATTGTCAAGGATACCTGTGCCTGTGTTCTTCTCTCTGTTTCCCGTAAATTACCATTAATATTATTATTCTAAAATATCGAGACGGCTTGTGAGGTTTTTTTCGCAAGCTGTCGGACAAG